TGACGGGTGATTCATGGATTGAGAAAAAAGTACTGAGATTTTATGAAAAGTAAAAGAATTCGAGATAAAAGTTATAATGTCCGTGCCATGTAAGACTTACGACCCATTTTGCAATATTTTTTCACCATATTTCTACTAAGTTACTAATGCAGCAAGAGCTATTTTTGCATATTTTGGTAATTTATATGGGTTGTATTTGCCATTTGCAATGTGTAAATTATTTTCTTTGTTTACTTCACAATATTTTACTTTTTAATATATTTTCTAAATTTTCATGAAAATTAGCAAAAACCAGGAGCATCCGCTTTAAGAAAATGCTGTCATAGTTTAATGGTCCACGCAGTGTTTATATATGTCTTAGAAATAAGATAATTCTTGAATGTGTTCTAACAATTGATATCTCATTTTTTATTCATTTCTGCAAACATAAATGTTGGTACATGTATCAAACAAAATTTACAAATTTTATACTTTCATTAAAACAGAGATCGAAAACATTTTTGTCTTACATTAGATGCAACATGATTTTTCTAACTCATGAAATGTGCTTTTGTATAGAAGTCTTGATAAAATGACAGAACAAAACATATTATACAGGAATTCTGATAAAGAATTTTTTTTAAATTTATTTTTGTTTGTTATGTTGAGTAATTATATTATAAAAAAATGTAAATTTACATATAGGTTCCCTTAGTCATGCTTATCAAAAATGTGCAACAACAGTGGTGCTCGCCTGATTTCCTCCATGAATGTTTACCTTAGTGCATTTAAATTAAACAAGAACATATCACAGTAATGCAATATATAAATTAATTCATAATCAGAACTTTTATTTATTTCATAATGGCTGAAACTGAATATTAAGTTATAGAAAAGTTTTGAATTTTAAACTTCCTTTCGAATTTGTTAAACTGGTGAATTCTCCCATTATGTTTTCCTCTCATTACGCTGTTATGGGGTATTTTTCCAGTTATGTTGTAATGGGGGATTTCCTCCCATTCTAATTTTGGGAGATTTCCTTAATAGGCTAGTTCTGCCAATGGGAGAATTGCAAATTTCATTTGATATGTTCCTTAAATACTTATAAGTTCATTATAAGTATAAAAAAAACAACACATGAAAATATCTAAAAATTTTTTTTCCTCCCACAGATTTTTTCTCCCATTTTATGAAAATGGTGTTTTAATCCAACTGGAACTCCTATGGGACACCTAGAAACCCAATGGAAGAATGGAAAAATCCCATGGGATGCCGCACTTCAAATGCTTGCCAAGCGCTTAATTTTTTTGTGCTTTCTGTATATTAACGGCCAATTATCATCTATTTCCATCCAAATAACTGTTTGCTTTAACTTTTTGCATTAAAACTACATAAAAAGGGTAGTTTGTGAAAATTCCAGATTTGCAAACTTATTCCGGAGGCTGTTATATATCAAGCAAAATGATGTTTCAGTTTAATTTGTAGACGTAGCTTTTTTATATGACATCGTCACTAACGTAAACAAGAGGGCCATGATGGCCCTAGATCGCTCACCTGAATTATCAAACTCATCCAAACAATTACCTAGACAAGCATTCTGACCAAGTCTCATGACAGCTGAGTCAAAAATGTGACTACTACAGTGTTAACAAGAATTATCCATATTTGAGCAGTGCGACCTCGTTTTTTACCCAGGTGACACATATTCAAACTTGACCTAGAAATCATCAAAACAAACTTTCAGACCAATTTCCAGGATACTTGGATCAAAACAGTAGCAACTAGTGTTAACAAGATTTTTCTATTTTTAGCTCCGGTGACCTAGCTTCACATGCGATTTCAAACTCATCCAAGCAATTACCTAGACAAGCATCCTGACCAAGTTTGATGATAATTGAGTCGAAAATGTGACCACTAGAATGTTAACAAGGTTTTTCCATATTTGGGCGGTGTGACCTAGTTTTTCATCCAAGATGACCCATGTTCGATCTTGACTTAGAAATCATCAAAACAAACTTTCAGACCAATTAACAGAATATTTGGATCACAACAGTAGCCACTAGAGTGTTAACAAGATTTTTCTATTTTTAGCTCCTGTGACCTAGTTTTTCATCAGAGATGTCCCATGTTCGATTTATTCCCAGCAATGACCTAGACAAGTTTCCTGACCAAGTTTGATGGCAATTGAGTCAAAATTGTGACCACTAGAGTGTTAACAAGGTTTTTCTATTTTTAGCTCCGGTGACCTAGTTTTTCATCCGAGATGACCCATGTTCGAACTCATCCGGGCTATCACCTAGACAAGCATCTTGATCAAGTTTGATGATGAATGATGCAAAAATGTAACCGCTAGAGTGTTAACAAGGTTTTTCTATTTTTAGCTCCAGTGACCTACTTTTTCATCCGAGATGACCCATGTTCAAACTCATCCGAGCTATCACCTAGAAAAGCATCTTGACCAAGTTTGATGATGATTGATGCAAAAATGTAACCGCTAGGGTGTTAACAAGGTTTTTCTATTCTTAGCTCCGGTGACCTACTTTTTTTATCCGAGATGACCCGTGTACGAACTCATCCAAGCTATCAACTAGATAAGCATCCTGACCAAGTTTGATGATGATTGATGCAAAAATGTGACCACTAGAGTGTTAACAAGGTTTTTCTATTTATAGCTCCGGTGACATAGTTTTTCATCCGAGATGACCCATATTAGAACTCATCCGAGCTATTATCTAAACAAGCATCCTGACCAAGTTTGATGATGATTGGGTCAAAAATGTGACCACTAGAGTGTTCACAAGGTTTTTCTATTTTTAGCTCCTGTGACCTAGTTTTTCATCAGAGATGACCCATGTTCGAACTCATCCAAGCAATTGACTAGACAAGCATCCTGACCAAGTTTGATGATGATTGGGTCAAAAATGTGACCACTAGAGTGTTCACAAGGTTTTTCTATTTTTAGCTCCGGTGACCTACTTTTTCATCCCATATGACCCATGTACGAACTCATCCAAGCTATCAACTAGACAAGCATCCTGACCAAGTTTGATGATGATTGATGCAAAAATGTGACCGCTAGAGTGTTAACAAGGTTTTTCTATTTATAGCTCCGGTGACCTACTTTTTCATCCGAGATGACCCATATTCGAACTCATCCGAGCTATTGTCTAAACAAGCATCCTGACAAAGTTTGATGATGATTGGGTCAAAAATGTGACCACTAGAGTGTTCACAAGGTTTTTCTATTTTTAGCACCTGTGACCTAGTTTTTCATCAGAGATGACCCATGTTCGAACTCATCCAAGCAAATGACTAGACAAGCATTCTGACAAAGTTTGATGATGATTGGTTCAAAAATGTGACCACAAGAGTGTTCACAAGGTTTTTCTATTTATAGCTCCTGTGACCTACTTTTTCATCCGAGATGACCCATGTTCGAACTCATCCGAGCTATCACCTAGACAAACATCCTGACCAAGTGTGATGATGATTGGGTCAAAAATGTGACCTCTAGAGTGTTCACAAGGTTTTTCTATTTTTAGCTCTTGTGACCTTGTTTTTCATCCGAGATAAGCCATGTTCGAACTCAGGTTTAGGGTTATTTAAATTCCATGGTATTTCCATGCCCTCAATTGATTTTCCTTAATACCATAAACAAGAGCGATCAGTAATCACATGTGTCGCCTCATGATGGCCAATTTCATGTTGGGACAAATTTTGTGACAGACGGACAGACAGACAGACAGTGCACAACTAGACTTGGTACTGATCATTCCTGTAAAGGTTGGATAAAATTGCACCAGTAGTTTATGAGGAGTAGTCCGGACAAGCTTTTGTGTATCTGGCAACACACAGAAAAAAACACCTTTTTATCAAAGGGCCATAACTCGACCAAAAATCATTCAACCAGAAAACCCATGCAATATGCACAAGGAATTGAGCTACAGATCAATCCTGTAAAGTTTCATTGAAATTGCATTAGTGGTATAAGAGAAGTAGTCGGGACAAACTTTAAAAATAAAAATTATTAAAGGGCCATAACTCTGACAAAAATCATTGAACCGGAAAATGCTGACAATATGCACAACTAGACTTGGTACTGATCATTCCTGTAAAGTTTGGATGAAATTGCACCAGTAGTTTATGAGGAGTAGTCCGGACAAGTTTTGTGACGGACGGACAGACGGACAGACAGACAGACGACGGAGAAGTGATCCCTATATGTCGCCACTACTCCGTAGAGGCGACACAAAAATGTTGAATTACATAACAAGACATTTTCAACTAAGGTGTAAATTGTATACTGCAAAAATTCCTTCTTTGTCTTCAAAGTACATGTATTTGCAAATATTGAAAGATGCTTTCAACTATTAAAAGTAAGCTAACACGTTATTGTTAATTATTACTTCTCCAGGGTATTAAATGCAGTCAATTTTTTTAGACTTTTTAGACAAATTAATTTATTTGAGAAAAAAAAAATCATATTTCTGTGATAAAGTGTTACCTTACAAAATTTTACCATATTTCTAATAAAGTAATTTTTCATAATATTTCCAGGTATGTAGAAACATTCTCCATAATCTTAGTGATCTATAAAATTGTTAAAGATCCTGTAACTCTAATTTTTAATGGTTTTATATAATAAATATGATGCTCAAATGAAGATTTATCAATATTAAATAAGTTCCAAAAAGCATTTTTTTGTAAAGATATAACCGAATTTACATTTCATATAAATAAAGGGAGGTAACGAGATTATTTTTTTCAATAAGAAATTAATGCATATATTTTAAAGATTACTTATAATGCGTATAAACATTTGCAGTACATATTTAACATATTCTTGGCTGTTTGGAAATTTTTTAGAAGAATAATTATATACATATATAAAATTTCACTTAAGTGTTGTTACATCCTTAATTACAACATACAGGATCTTTAAATGTACGGGTAAAAACAACATCTTTCAACCACCAACCTTCAATGTAGAGACAGCGCTAAAATTTGAGAATGAACAATACCTTCACATCAACCCCAGGAAGGAAGAACACAGTTTTCTCTATTGTAGGCAGCTGTGGAGCTTGGTTTTTCTTGCTACTTGGTATTGAAGACACAGACTCCTGTTTCCTGAATTTATCTATTCCACTCACTGGAGTTTTCTCCCTTTTATTTCTGAAAAAACAACAACAATGTTCTGTTAAAAAGTGATGATTATAAGAGTTTCTTCTTTTTCATTAAATTTTACATAAAAAAAATAAGTTTAAAGGCACATTATGCCTTAGAAACTAATGAATTTTAACTTCTTTAGAAAAGGCATACATGAAGTTCATTACGTTTATATCATGTTTTAGAGCATATAAGATTCTTGTTACCCTGAGACAGTAGCGCTAAATGTGAATTGATTTGTCATACAAGTAGATAACTGTAAACAAAGTAATATACAAAGTGCTAAATCACTATAACTGAACTAATTGCCAAAACGAAACAGAAGAAATTGATGTTTCAGGTACTTAGTCAATGAGTAATTCTTTGCAAACTACAAGAGAACACAAACAATAAAAAAGTTTTGAGAAATAAAAATAGAAGCATATCTGGGGAATAATGGGCCTTTAATTGAATTTTTTCCTCTCTTACTCATTACACACCAATCATATCAGTATCCTCCTTTTTAAACTTTTGAAACACTAGAACTCCGCGAGTCAGATGTGTCACCTTGTGAACAATGTAGTTTAGGGGAAATGGCCAGGACAAAAATGAAATATGAAAAATAACAAAGGGCAATAACTAAAAAAATAATAAGTGCAGAGCAGCAGTTTCTGTACACTGACTTCTTATTAATAAGATCTATCATTCTATGATGTAATAGCTTTCATACTTGAGGAGAAATGACCAGGACAAAAATAAAGTAAGAAAATCAACAAAGGGCAATAACTCAAAAATAAGAAGTGCATAGTACCGATTCTTGTGCACTGCACTTCTTAATAATGAGATCTATCATCCTATGAAGTTTCAAGTCCATAGCTTTTATACTTAAGGAGAAATGGCCCGGACAAAATTAAAGTATGAAAATAAACAAAGGGCAATAACTAAAAAAATAAGAAATGCAAAGTACCAGTTCTTGTGCACTGCACTTCTTCTTAATGAGACCTATCATCCTATGAAGTTTCAAGTCCATGGCTTTTATACATTAGGAGAAATGGCCCGGACAAAAATAAAGCATGAAAATTAACAAAGGGCAATAACTCAAAAAAATTAAGAAGTGCAGAGTGCTGGTTCTTGTGCACTGCACTTCTTAATAATGAGATCTATCATCCTATGAAGTTTCAAGTCCATAGCTTTTTTAGTTGAAGAGAAATGGCCCGGACAAAATTAAAGTATGAAAATTAACAAAGGGCAATAACTCAAAAAATAAGAACTGCAGAGTACTGGTCCTTGTGCACTGCACTTCTGGTTATTGAAAGAAGCATGCATACCAAGTTTGAAGTCAATCAGACTTGTGTGACTGAGTTATGCTCCGGACAAGCTTTAGGGGACGCCGACGCCGACAACGCCGCCGACACAGACGCCGCCGCCGACACCGCCGACAAAAGTAACCCCTATATGTCACCTTTTCAAGGCGACACAAAAATTGTCAAGAGTTTCCTCCCTTTCATTCCTTTGTTGTTTCTTTTATTGCTTATTGCATTTAATCATAAAAATAAACTTGATCCAAATCTTTTCTGTTTAAGAAATAATATATCCCAAATAGTGATTTTATTGCTCAATAACATCACTGTTTGGAGTTCGGATGCGAGGAATTACACCCTCGTGATATAATGATGCACATCCGAATGACAAACAGTGGTGTTATCATGCGATAAAATCACTGATTTGGATATATTATTCCGATTCTAACACAACATCAACAAATAAATTTTGCCATACCTGATATTATTAAGCAAAATTACGCTGAATTTGTATCCGTACTTACTTTCAGCTCGTTGTATTTTTTAGTGGTTACGACACATGCATACACATATCTAAATATAGAACGTCAACAGTGATTTGATTTCATAATAACACACACTTTCGGTTCTTCTATATTCAACAGGGAAAAATGCGGGTTGTGTTGGAATTGTTAATATTCCATTTATTCTTCATATCCTTGATTCTTATCAAAGATGTCTCCCTGTTATCTACATATGAACATGGAAATTTTCTGCAGTACTTTTAAAAAAAAAAACTTTATTATTGTAGTACAGGCAAACCTGTAAAATTGACCACATACAATGTATGGACAATGACCAACATGTGATCTTTACAGGTGACCCCTCATCTGTGACATAATGTATGGACAATGGGATGAAGAGGTGTTGAAACTAGGGAGGGGGGTAGTTTTGAAGTCTTGCTCCACCAGGAAAAGTCACTATATGTCCTTAACACTATCTGTGTGACATAAAAACCCAACCAACCTTTTATTTTCATCATCTTTGTCTTTTGGATGCAGAACACATTTTCCACTGTCAATAAACACCTTAACATCAAGCTCAAAATCTACATTTGGTTCTACAACAGTCTTGGAGCCACCACTGCCGATACTTGGGTTGGAGGCACTCCTCTGCTCGCTACCAGCCACTGTACTTGTCTCATAACTGTGAAAAAATATCATTGTCCTATTTCAATTATTCTGTGTATGAGGATATAAATAGATTTCTTTGCTCATATAATATAACCTTGAGTAGCTGATTTCTTTGAATACTTACGACCATATCTTAAATTGTGGCTATATCACTCATGAAAATATTGTAAATTGAAACAAACAAATATTCTATGACAAATACTAATGAAAATGATAAAATATATTAACATAACCATTAAATTCTAACTGTCATGTTTTTATCCAGACTCTTACAAAAATCTAAAACGTTTTTTCAATACCTGTCTCCTTCAAACACTTCCTTTCTGACATCATCTTCACTGGTTGACGTCTCTGATGATGTCATAGACGATGACCCAGATAAGGAGGACGAGGAGGCCGATTCTCGACATAGTGTCGGCACTGCAAGACTTACTGATCTCTTTGGCATTACAGCTATAATGCTAGGGCGATGCTGGGGAGTCCCTTCAGGTGTCCTGAAATTAGAAATACATGTGTATAACTGTTTTGAGGATTGTGACTTTTAACTCATTTCACACTGTTAAGGTCATATGGCAAAATTTCAATTTTATTAATGGATCAAGACTCCAGAATAACTCTTAAGGTCATAGAAAAGGATTCCATGTTTAAAGTACTAGAAAAGGTTTGTTGAAAAAAGTTGGTTATTACAAGGTCTTTAACGAAAATTCTGTAATATTCATTAGATAATATACAAGGTAGGTAAATACATACATTGGTGGAGTGTACGTGGATGAAATTGTCTCTCCAAATTGCACTCGTGAGCCACCAGAATGTTCAGGCACATGTGACGTTTCTGACAGAGACCGTAATGGTAGATTATCTGGTTTTAACAAGTCTGGTGGGCAACTGTGAGGATATGAAAATACAACAAGACTTGAGGAAAAAACATAGGCTAAAAACAAATAGTGATGCAAGAAAAGTTTTTTCTTCTGCAACTTTTCAATTCTTTACCATCATTGTAACTCCCTTATTCACCTCTTTTTACTGTTAATTGACTAATATGAATATAGTGTATTTAGTTTTTGTTTGGTTTTTAAGTCAAATTGATACTATTCAAGTATAATATGTTGACCTTTAGTGATGAATATGACTTATAGATACCCCTACATGCAGTACTACAGACACAAGCAGCACCAGAGTAAAACCACCGTTGTCGATACACTAGCTACATAGCATCCTCACATGATAGAATCCAACGTCCAAAACAAGAAATAAATACAAATTATTGTAGTTTTATATTTACGACAAGTTGCTTATTATTGTGCTTTCTAAGATGAGATCACCATGGTATTTGGTTTTTTGTTTTTTTTTAATCCCATTGAATATGTATGTTTTATCAAATGACATACATACAGGTTTGAATAAAACAGAAGTATCGTGAAAAATATGTACATGTACAATCTAAATAAGTGCCAAGAATACGAATTCATGGTCACTTGAAGATATATTTAAATGTTTGTGTGCTTGTGCTACATTCAATTTCTTAATTCAACCCTCTATAATTAGGATAATTGTGAATTCAAACCAAACACCTTCGTTTGGTAATCCTGTCATCTATCGCCCATGAAATTTTGTCAGGATTTCAACATTGTGCAATTGCATAATAATTATAATCTTTCCAAACCTATCATATCATGAACTTGAATTACTTTGCATAATAAAAGTGCATAAATGTACATGTACCTTTCCCTGTGTTTCTCATCAGGTCTCCCACCGTATGATCTGGACCTTATATGGGCTGGATTTGAGCCTATTCCTAGTTTATCTTTGATAACTGATGCCTGTGAAAAAAAACATATCGATAAGTGGTTCAGTTAGCGACGCAGAAATAATTGGCGAAATTCATGAATAAAATTTCTTCTAACGTAAATATCACCAAAAAAGTAATTAAATTCTACCATTGTACAATTCACTAACATTCCTCACGTGAAATTTCTGAAATTTCAATTTAACTTTTTTACATGTTGAAAAATGCACTTATACAGTACATCAATATTTTTTAAGGGAAAAAATATCAAAATCTAGTCAATATGACTTTAGCTTGTTAATAAAACCATGAGAGCAAGAATAATTACTTATAAACTTACTAATTTACTCATTCTGACATTACTTTATGTAAAATGAAAATTGGCAATTTAATTAAAGGTATTGCTGAATACATGTACTTTATTTTATAATAAAGAACAAAATTTAAACACAAATCTTAAGAATTTAAACCTAGATAGGCACACCATGCCTTTCAAATAAAAACAAATTGTAATCTTCCTAATACAGTCAAACCTGTATATACTGACCATCCTTTGGAAATCACCATTGTTCTATGTTGACCTCTTAAAGAAGGAATTACTTCATATATATAACCTTTCACCTCCTTCCGTTATTCAAACAAAACATTAACACCATAGTTCCATTCAGAAGCTACATACTGATTAGGGGTGTCATGTTTATCCGTTTAAACGGGTACGGTCAGTTTTTAGTTAAAAACCTGTTAAAAATTCAATAACTGGTAACCGTGGTTAGTTTTTGACAAAGGGGTGGAAAAGTTTTAAATTGATTCTAAATAATACCTTATTTTTTTTTAATGACAAAATATGACAATTGTTCGTATTTTTGTTGTACTCAACAATGAATTATTTCCAATCTGATCGAATCCAGAATGATACTAGCGGAAAATAGTTACTCAATACTTGGATATGTATTGTAATCATTTTGAGTACAACAAAATAATTACAAATAAATGGCATATCTTGTCATAAAGAAACAATGTTAATGTTGAAAATCTAAGGATTTTATTAGTATGGTCAGTTAAACATTCAACACAGTTATTACGTTGCCGTTTAAACGGTAACATTTTTTCTAACGGTGACACCTCTAATATAGATACAGATCTTAGATACAGATCTTGTATTCAAATTTCCAAGAGTTGAATTTTTTTATATAACTAACCCTTTCACCCTGTTTCTTGATTCGACTGAGGACTTCCCGTCTGAAGTCATTGAATATGATACTCTTTAGTTCCTCCAGTTTTCTTGTCTCACTCTCAATCGTAGTCTGACTGGCTCCAAGCTCTCTAAAATATAACAAAATATAGATAGCAATTACTTCAAGCATTCATACTATGCATTTTGAACAATAAAATAAAACCATGTGGCTACGGACTTATCTTCTATAAATGTTTCCATAATATCATCTATTCGTGAGGTATTACAAAATAAACGAAGCAAAACCAAACAAGAGGTCCATGATTTCCCCTAATTGATCACCTGAGGATATGGTTCACATGAACAAGGTTCATTATAAGTTCATTTCTACTAACATCCTTTAAAATCTGCCTAGTCTTTGTGGAGTTGTTTAAAAGCCTATTTTTATATTTGACTGCCATTTATATGTTAAGCATTCCATAGAAATGTTAGCAATTTTTGTAGAGAACCAACAAAGTCTTTTTTTCTGCATAGTTTCGCAACATATAGGGGTTAAGGACGGGCTGTCCTTTAAAATGAATGGTTGACAACAGACATTCAGGTGAGATAAAATCAACAAACAAAACACCAACAATGAAAGATAATAAGATGTCTAATATTACCAAAATTGGGAACAATTTGTGGCCCTAGAGATCTTCGTATAAGACCTGTACAATTGCCCTAATCTAATTCTGTACTTCAGACAGCCAATAATCTAAATTTTTTTGTACTTTCTCAAGGTAAGGATTTTGATCAAGACATATTAAAATCAGTCGATATTTGTGACTTCCTGAAACTTTTTGAGGTTTAACTATGATTCGACAATGTGACCAAGCTTTAGACCATAGACAACCCATTTTCTTATTGACAATAATACAAATATAAAGGTAAGCATAAGGAAACATTGACAGTATTACCTAGTCCAGCAATTTTGAATTAACCCTTAACCCTTACCATGCATGAATATCTTAAATGGACATGTTAATTTGTCAATCTTGAAGTTCATTTGTCAATCTTGTCAAAACCATTCATTGAATTTAGCTAAAATTCCAAAACATGTACTGTATGAAAATAATGTAAACAGTCAGACCTGGACCAGACAAAATGGATGTGTCAGCTGATCTTGGTCTGCACAGGTAGCAGGGGTAGAAACAGTGGCCACCAGGAGGCTATGGGTAAAACTTACTTTAGATCTTGTACTATTTTAGCCTGTTCATTCATTTCTTTCTCCAGAAGTCTGGCTCTTTTCTTTGGATCTAAGCTTGTATCAAACACAAACTTTGGCAGAGTCTCTGGTACAACACTGGCTCTTCTCCCATACTCAAACTGGTGCTACATGAAAACAAGAACATAATTCTCGAAAGGTTGGACTTTTATTCACATAGGTAGAGGCTACTTTAAAATGATAGTTTACTTATCTGCTTTACAAAATTTCTGAAAATGTATTGTCTTGTATATACATGTATAACCTTACTTAAAGCTGAAGCTTACTGGTTATGCTGGACATCTATGAGTGGGTAAACACTATGAGTGGCATTAACAGACAACTTATAACCCTGAAAGCTCAACTTTTGTATTTTGAAACTATAAAATCCATTTAACTTCAGTGAAGACTGTTTCAAATGTTTTTGTTGCAAATCCATGTCACAAACTCATAAGGCTAGGGTTAAAACAAGAATTTTACCGGATATTCTGCAATGTCCTCTAGTGACACATCAAGCCTCTCATCCATCGGATCAATCAGATATTCATCTTCCTCCTCCCCCGTCAACGAAGTGAGAGTATTTCCAAGGGCAGATAATCTCTTCCCTAGATTGGTGTCCAAATGAACATCAATACCCTGCATTTCCCATTTTATGTTTAATATCCATTTGGCATTGCTGCTTGGATCTGAAATGAGTCCTACTGCTTATTTTCTTTGATCAATTTTATAAGCATAACATAAACATAAAGATTTTGCAGTTATTGTGTTTTAAATCTTTCTGATACATATAGGTCATATCTTTAACTTTCACCCTTAATCTTTACCCTATTAGTTCTGCAAATGACTACGCTTTGCCACCAGTATAGATCCTGATTCATATAGTCTCCCCAGGCTCTATACTGTTGGCTGGCTAACTTCAAATTTTCTTCCAGCATAGTATGTTTGGTTTTTACTAACATTTGCATAGTCTGTTTGGTTTTTACTAACAATAGCATAATATTGTGGGTTTTTTGTAAATAACATTAGCATAAGTATGTTTATTTTTTACTAACAATAGCATAGTTTTTTTTTTTTTAAATAACATTAGCATAGTATGTTTGGTTTTTACTAACATTAGCATACTATGTTTGTTATTTACTATATCATTCAAGTAGTCTCTGTGTGCCTTATCTCTTATCATATATATCGCAGTTGTTAATTTCAAACTACCTGAAGACTGAGGGTTTGTTGTACGTGAGCACACCTCATACGTCCCCTCCGGTACTACACATGCGTTCATGACTTGTGGAGAATCATCTCTATTTGGCTTCCAATCGTCCAAACTTGTCTCAAAATCTTCAGCTATCCTCAGACAGAAACCTATATAAATGTTTCAAACATAAGATGTTATTGGTACAGTGAGTTAAAAGAAGTCTGTTACAGTACTTTTCTTTTTATTGTGTTTGGCGACTTTACAGCTTTACTGGTGATGGAAGACCTCAGGTGCCCCTCTGTACATTATTTCAAGCATAAAAAGGCACCTGAGTAGAACCACATACCTTCTGTCAGCTAGCTGGAAAGGAGACACCACTGCAGCTTGAACCTACAACGGTGAGAGGCAAGTGGTTTGAGGTCAAAGTCCTTAACCGCTCAGCCACAGACGTCCCTTGTTACAGTACTAATTTGTATTTTAGCAAATACACATCAACTTTTCCATATACAACAAATGACCCAGTAGTAAAGAACAAACAGCAAAACACATTTACATTTGGTCATTAACCCTTAGCTGACTGGTACCAAAAGTGACTAATCTTTGCCACCTGTATAGCGGCAGGCCAGCCTTAAATTCCATGCAGCCTGACCAGACTCTTTACTTTATTATATTGTATTGTATTTTAATACAGAAATCCATTTGAAATTCTATAAACTGTTCCAAATTGAAAGCAGGCAAAATTAATTACACAATTTCAGCAAGTTATGGTTTATTTTAATCTTCTATATGTTAAATTCATTCTTGAAGAATAAACCAGAACAAACTGGAACAAATTGCAAATGTTATATTATGCATATGTCAATATAAGGATAAAGAATCATTTGACATCGCAAAGGAAAACACCTCATCATGTTACAGAAATGTACTAAATATAGGTACAACATGTACATCAAAGCACTCAAAATAGGCAATACTATCACTATATCAAGAATTTCATTGTTTTTTGGATTGGATTTTGTTTTATTTTGATATTGAAATCCCTTAAAATTCAAATGAACTGTTCCAAATACAAATCCATTAAAATAATTCAGCAGGTTAAAAGTTATAAATATATTATAAAAAGTTATAAATATATTATATATTCAAACAAATAAAAATGTACCTGTGAATTTTCCTTTGCTAACTAGTGATCCAGAGGAGCATGCACATATCTGTGTACTCTCTATGGTTAGAACAACTGCCACACCGGGTTCTTGGTCAATAATCTTACCAGGTACCTAAAAAATATATGATACCCATAATTTAGTAAAGACTTTCAATAAATTCAGAACTATCGCAAATTCCTATGCAGAAAGAGAAATTTACAAACTTAAGTAATCTAGTTTCTATACAGGTATCTGCACAATTTTATTATATTTACATCAAACTCACACATATAAATAATAAACAGTTCCAAATTCAAAAGAGGACAAGTCCATTATACAAATTCAAGGGAATAAGGGGGATTAACATAAAATCAGGAAACATTAATAACTTACAAATGAGCTGAAAGGTGTCACAGGTAAACATAGACCAATATCATCCACTGTCAACTGTAGAAACAGTGTGCTTAACGCCTGCTGGGTTGCTGGTGTGATCTGAGGAAGGCGGTCAATCACCTGGCGGGTGGCACTCTGTATCTCCTTGTTCAGCGCAAGTCTTTGCTCCGTCCAATACTCGTAGGCATTCTTATAATTCAGCCAAACCAGTACAGCTAAGATTTGGAAAAGACGAAAGAAAAAATATCATAAGATTTTTTTTCGTTAATTGTTTCAAGAGTTTTAGTGAATAAGGATAATTTGTTAGTAAAACAAGTCTGAAACCCAAAGTAACTGTTAATACTATGAATGACAAATTAAGGATAAGGTATCATACTGGTATTGTCTCAAATAATGACAACACTGAGTGAAAAAACACCTTTCATACGACATAATATTGATTTTTCTGCACAGTTCCTATAGAATTTATACCGTTTAGTATGCTCTAGCAAATTAAATAGAAATGTCCCAACAGATTATCTTCTGCTATTAACTCAATTTCATGCTTCAACGCCTTTAAATTATTAAACTGTTGCAAATTCAAAGAAAAAGTCTATTTTAGAAATTCGGCAAGAGAAAGCTATTAAAATGTAATGTACTAACCTTTATCAAAAGCCAGTGGTTGTGCTAGGACAATAGGTATGTACTAACCTTTATCAAAAGTGAGTGGTTGTGCTAGGACAATAGGTCTGTACTAACCTTTATCAAAAGCGAGTGGTTGTGCTAGGACAATAGGTCTGTACTAACCTTTATCAAAAGCGAGTGGTTGTGCTAGGACAATAGGTCTGTACTAACCTTTATCAAAAGCAAGTGGTTGTGCTAGGACAATAGGTCTGTACTAACCTTTATCAAAAGCGAGTGGTTGTGCTAGGACAATAGGTCTGTACTAACCTTAATAGTTGCGTCTTCAAATAATTAAATTTTTGTACTTCTGTAAGATTCGGGTTATGATGAACGGATGAATCAAAAGCATCCCAAAAACTTTGCCATTCGAGAATGTCACCACTAAAGACAGGCAGTGATAATTTCGGCAGTCTGTGATAAAGCGACGTGTTTGAATGAAATGTACTCACATTTTGCAAAGAACTGTTACCATTATTCACGTTATTATTTTCGATCAGGGAACCACTTCCGTCTTGGTTCTGGTTTTGTGGGTTAGATGGTTCGCTATAAGCATTCTGTTGTTCTTCAGTGTTGCTTTTTCTGTTTTCGCTATAAGCTCGAAGTTCTCTCACCTTTATCTCCAACGTTAATCCATATTCTTCACTGCTTACTATTTCCTCCTCGATGTCGATTACTTCCGTTAGTTCTAAAATCTTTTCGTTTAAGGATTTGATCGTCTCTGCTTTTCTGACAATGGCTTCGAGAATTGCGTTAAATTCTATCATCGATGAATTCTCTTTCCCCCGTTCAATTCGTTCAAGCTGAATTTCTACACATCTTCGTTGACCTTCTCTCACTGATCGCAATTTATCTATCTTCATAATGTTTTCGTCACGGCACCAATGTCGGATAGGGTATTATACTACGATAATAATGTACAACACGTTGTGTCTGGTTTATACGTCTATTCAAAACTACTAACGTTATACTACAAAACATAGGAAGTGACGTCCTCTAACGTCACGCATACGTTGGCGTCATTTAACGGCACATGCATATGAGCGCAATTCCCGACACTTACCTTTATCAAAAGCGAGTGGTTGTGCTAGGACAATAGGTCTGTACTAACCTTTATCAAAAGCAAGTGGTTGTGCTAGGACAATAGGTCTGTACTAACCTTTATCAAAAGCGAGTGGTTGTGCTAAGACAATAGGTCTGTACTAACCTTTATCAAAAGCGAGTGGTTGTGCTAGGACAATAGGTCTGTACTAACCTTTATCAAAAGCGAGTGGTTGTGCTAGGACAATAGGTCTGTACTAACCTTTATCAAAAGCAAGTGGTTGTGCTAGGACAATAGGTCTGTACTAACCTTTATCAAAAGCAAGTGGTTGTGCTAGGACAATAGGTCTGTACTAACCTTTATCAAAAGCAAGTGGTTGTGCTCGGACAATAGGTCTGTACTAACCTTTATCAAAATTAAGTGGTTGTGCTAGGACAATAGGTCTGGACTAACCTTTATCAAAGGCTAGTGGTTGTGCTAGGACAATAGGTCTGTACGTACCTTTATCAAAGGCTAGTGGTTGTGCTAGGACAATAGGTCTGTACGTACCTTTATCAAAAGCTAGTGGTTGTGCTAGGACAATAGGTCTAGGACAATAGGTCTGTACTAACCTTTATCAAAAGCAAGTGGTTGTGCTAGGACAATAGGTCTGTACTAACCTTTATCAAAAGCAAGTGGTTGTGCTAGGACAATAGGTCTGTACTAACCTTTATCAAAAGCGAGTGGTTGTGCTAGGACAATAGGTCTGGACAGGTTGATAAGTAGAGCCTCCTGGTCTGTAGACACTCCTGGTATCATCTCATCCTAAAATATACAAGTATATACATTCAAACATGTCCTTAAAGACCACTTATAAATTAAAGCCATATAGAGAAAAACCTCTTACAAATGGCAAGTGTCTACAGTTCTTTCAAACTGAATTACAGCGCAAATTAACTTTTCTGAAAACGAAACTGGGGTGATGCAAATACAAATCCCATTTAATCAAGGTAAGATGAAAACATAATCACCTATGCCTAAGATAAGATAACTCTCCCCCTATTCTTTGATTAAGTGATAACGTTTTTGTTAACAACATTGCTCAAACAAAAACAAGTGTTTGGGGTCTAATTAGGACATTTTTTCACCAATTGAGGCCTCAAAAAGGGGGTGGGAGACAAAAAGGCCTGAAAAGACATCTATATGAAGTAATGAGTTAATCGAGGCCAAAAAATACATAATCAAAAATTTTTTTTTTTAATTTAATGACTTCCGAAATTTAACCAAATTGTAAGAACAGAACATGCAATGATAAAGTCTTACCTGTAAAGCATTTCTAACAGAAATTTTTGTTTTGAAAAATGCCATTGTTTGAAACTCAGGATCTGCTTCTTCAAACATGGGGTTCTGAAATGAAAGTTTACACTCTATTTATCCTTATACCATAACAAGAGCTGTCAGTAGAAAAGTGCACTAACCAATTCACAAATAGTTGACCTGAAAACAAAATATATTTGCCAGCATATAATAGTGAAAAGAAGCAATTTTACTATCAAAACTAGAACTGCCACTATCATGGCGTGAATACCCCCGCATACCACTTTGTCATAATCAACAGTGGCCATTAAGAGCTCAAGGAAAACCTCCTTGCCAAATCTGAGGTTATTAAGCCAGTGCATTGCTAAGTTATGTATTCTACATGCTTCAAATGTGAAAATGTCAAAATCAATACATTGCGGACAGGACATTCTTTAGCAATTGAGAAGAAAAGCTTTTGTCAAAGTCCCTGTGACCTTGACCTTTGACCCAGTGACCTCAAAATCAATAGGGGTCACCTTATAGTCATGATCAACATCCATGCCAAATAAGAAGACTGTGGGTCAAAGGAATCTTAAGTTAATGGGTGGACAAACTTTTTGAAGTCAAAGTCCCTATGACCTTGACCTTTGATCCAGTGACCTCAAAATCAATAGGGGTCATCTACTAATCATGACTAACCTCCATGCCAAATATGAAGACTGTGGGTCAAAGGAATCTTAAGTTATAGGGCGGACAAGCTTATTGAAGTCAAGGCCCCTGTTACCTTGACCTTTGACCTGGTGACCTCAAAGTCAATAGGGGTCATCTACTAATCATGACTAACCTCCATGCCAAATATGAAGACTGTGGGTCAAAGGAATCTTAAGTTATTGGGCGGACAAGCTTTTTGAAGTCAAGGCCCCTGTGACCTTGACCTTTGACCTGGTGACCTCAAAGTCAATAGGGGTCATCTACTTATCATGACTAGCCTCCATGCCAAATATGAAGACTGTGGGTCAAAGGAATCTTAAGTTATTGGGCGGACAAGCTTTTTGAAGTCAAGGCCCCTGTGACCTTGATCTTTGACCTGGTGACCTCAAAATCACTAGGGGTCATCTACTTATCATGACTAACCTCCATGCCAAATATGAAGACTGTGGGTCAAAGGAATCTTAAGTTATTGGGTGGACAAGTTTTTTGAAGTGAAGGCCCCTGTGACCTTGACCTTTGACCTGGTGACCTCAAAATCACTAGGGGTCATCTACTAATCATGACTAACCTCCATGCCAAATATGAAGACTATGGGTCAAAGGAATCTTAAGTTATTGGGCGGACAAGCTTTTTGAAGTCAAGGCCCCTGTGACCTTGACCTTTGACCTCAAAATCAATAGGGGTCATCTACTAATCATGACTTACCTCCATGCCAAATATGAAGACTGTGGGTCAAAGGAATCTTACGTTATTGGGCGGACAAACTTTTTGAAGTCAAGGCCCCTGTGACCTTGACCTTTGACCTGGTGACCTCAAAATCAATAGGGGTCATCTACTAATCATGACTAACCTCCATGCCAAATATGAAGACTGTAGGTCAAAGGAATCTTAAGTTATTGGGCGGAGAAGTTTTTTGATATGAAGGCCCCTGTGACCTTGACCTTTGACCTGGTGACCTCAAAATCAAATAGGGGTCATCTACTAATCATGACTAACCTCCATGCCAAATATGAAGACTATGGGTCAAAGGAATCTTAAGTTATTGGGTGGACAAGCTTTTTGAAGTCAAGGCCCCTGTGACCTTGACCTTTGACCTGGTGACCTCAAAATCAATAGGGGTCATCTACTAATCATGACTAACCTCCCTGCCAAAAATGAAGACTGTAGGTCATAGGAATCTTACGTTATTGGGCAGACAAGCTTTTTGAAGTCAAGGCCCCTGTGACCTTGACCTTTGACCTGGTGACCTCAAAATCACTAGGGGTCATCTACTAATCATGACTAACCTCCATGCCAAATATGACGACTGTAGGTCAAAGGAATCTTAAGTTATTGGGCGGACAAACTTTTTGAAGTCAAGGCCCCTGTGACCTTGACCTTTGACCTGGTGACCTCAAAATCAATAGGGGTCATCTACTAACCATGACTTACCTCCATGCCAAATATGAAGACTGTAGGTCAAAGGAATCTTAAGTTATTGGGCAGACAAGAAAAAACCGACGGACGGACGGACGGATGGACAGATGGACAAGCTGATTCCAGTATACAACTTTACAGATTACAACTTTGTTGTGCGGGGGTATAATAAGCTAAAATATAGCCTTATTCCAAGTCAAATTTAGCATCATACGCAGCCATATTTCTAGACAAGTTGCTTATCAAATATAGCAATTAAATTCATTCATGTTTTTAGTCAATATCCATATTCCCAGTTAAATTTAGAAAATAATGCTCCTATGGACATTTAGCACTAAATTTAATTTTCTTTCTATTCAGATTTAGAATCAAATTCTAGCAGTGCCTGAATTTAACTTACACTTAAAATTGTACCGGTACTATAGTAACAAGAGCCATGTCAACATGGCCATCCCCCGCCGAATGTGTTTGCTCATTGGAAGAATGTATATGTAGTAGAGCGGAATAATTCCATTTTAAGAGGTCTTTTAGTAATGAAAACTGATGGCTATAGTGATTACAGATTTGAAACCTATGTGAATACTGATGGCTGAAAATAACAAAGGGCAATTACTGAAAAATAATGCAGGGTAGGTTATCACTCTTGTGTGCTGCATCCCTCCTCAGTAAAATCTATCCACCTATGAAGTTTCAAGTTGATACCTCAAATACTTTTTGAGAAAAAAATTGAATTGAAAAATTAAGTATGAAAAAGAACAAAGGGCAATAACTCAAAAATTATAAAAGGTAGAGTTATCATTCTTGTGCAGTGCACACCTCCTGAGTCAGAGATCTATGCACCTATGAAGTTTCATTTTGATATCTCAAAGGCTTTTTGAGTTATGCTCTGGACAAAAATTAATTTTGAAAAATAGCAAAGGGCAATAACTCAAAAATAATGCAGGGTAGAGTTATCATTCTTAAGCACTACACTCCTCCTCAATGAGATCCATCCACCTTTGAAGTTTCAAGTTGATACCTCAAATACTTTTTGAGATAAGCTCTGGACAAAATAGCATGAAAAAAAAAGGGCAATAACTCAAAAATTGTATAGGGAAGAGCTATCATTCTTGCGCACAACATTCCTCCTCAATAAGATCTGTCCACCTATGACATTTCATGTTGATATCTCAAACACTTTTTGAGTTATGCTCCACTCAGGTGAAAAATTAGGTATGAAAAATAACAAAGGGCAATAACTCAAAAATTATGAAAGGTAGAGTCATCATTCTTGTGCACTGCACACCTCCTGAGTGAGATCTATGCACCTATGAAGTTTCATGTTAATATCTCATAGGCTTTTGGAGTTATGCTCTGGACAAAAATCAATTTTGAAAAATAACAAAGGGCAATAACTCAAAAATCATGCAAGGTAGAGTTATCATTCTTGTGCACTGCACTCCTCCTCAATGAGGTCTACCCACCTATGAAGTTTCAAGTTGATAACTCAAATACTTTTAGAGATATGCTCCGGACAAAAATGTCGGACGGAAGGACTGAAGGACGGAGACTATTTCTATATCCTCCGCCGAAATTTTTCGGCGGGGGATAACAATTACAAAGAAATATACTTTTTGAGTAGCATACCTTGATCAGTTGTCCGAGTGAAAGACTGAGTTCTATCTGAGCCTTGATAAACACCTTCTGATTGTCCTCATACATAGCTGTAGGAACAAATATTAACAATTCATACATCATAATTGTGTTTTTTTTTTTTTTGGTTTTTTTTTTCAAATGGTTATAAAATAACTAACTATAATGAAATAGTTTTCCATTTAATTAATTTTTTTTTGTTTGGTTTGGTTTTAAGTCATACCAACACAGTATAGGTCAAATGGCCATTTTCCAGCATTTCTGGTTGAGGAAGACCTCAGGTGCCCCTCTGTACATCATTTCAGGCACAAATGGGCACCTGAGTAGAACCACCGATGTTCTGTATAGCCAGCTGGATAGCTTCCTTACATGAAGAATCTGATGACATTTGCGTATACTAAATATAATTTCTAACTGAAATACAGAATTCAGTTATTCTACTAAATTCTAAAATACGTAATTGGGAGTTGGACCTATTACCCGCTATTTTTCTATCAAAATCAAACCACCAAATTGACCAAGCATGGCAAAAGAAGACTGTAGGTAAAAGCTTGCCAAATCTGCCCTTTCATCCCTGGGGGCAATGCTGGGTGGCAGTAAGGGGGATCGGGAAATCTTAGGTAACAACTGACTAGCGCACACTTAAACTACACATAAGGCTTTAGGTAATGATAAAGAGTAGTAGTTACTAAAACTTGGGTTAGCTTCTTGTGATGCCATCTGTACTCTATTAGAGACCTCCACATCTACTGCCTCCGTCTCTAACCTTACAGCACTTGCTGTTGGTGTTGTAGCGGTTATCTGTATTCCCTACAATATGTGTAAAACACAAAATTAATTGTTTTCTAATTATTTTTCAAATACGGGTGTATACTGTTGTCACCAACTCTCCAACAATCCATTTTTTATCATTTCCGAAATTGAATCACACTAAGTTATATCAAGATTTGTTTGTAAGTAAGACACAAATAACCTTATCAAAATCTATTTTAACACATATCAGGTCAAATTGCTCGAATTCTGAAAATTTTAGCTATCAAGACCATTCCTGGGTCAAGGTCATATTTTGATGTGTCATAATGAAGATCAGGTCTAAAACAAGAGCTGTCGGTAGGACAGCAACGCTCGACTATTCTTAGTGCTTGATAGTGAAAAAAATGCTTGATAGAGTTACCTCCTCCTGTTTACAGGTTGGGGTCATGATGGTGAACAAGTGTGCAAAGTTTCAAAGCCATATGTCAATGGACTTTGAAAATATTTGAACTATTACAAAAACTTTAACGTAAATTCTAAGTCGAAAAAGGGGCATAATTCTGTCAAAATGCTTGATAGAGTTACCTCTTCCTGTTTACAGGTTGGGGTCATGATGGTGAACAAGTGTGCAAAGTTTCAAAGCCATATGTCAATGGACTTTGAAAATATTTGAACTATTACAAAAACTTTAACGTAAATTCTAAGTCGAAAAAGGGGCATAATTCTGTCAAAATGCTTGATAGAGTTACCTCCTCCTGTTTACAGGTTGGGGTCATGATGGTGAACAAGTGTGCAAAGTTTCAAAGCCATATGTCAATGGACTTTGAAAATATTTGAACTATTACAAAAACTTTAACGTAAATTCTAAGTCGAAAAAGGGGCATAATTCTGTCAAAATGCTTGATAGACTTACCTCCTCCTGTTTACAGGTTGGGGTCATGATGGTGAACAAGTGTGCAAAGTTTCAAAGCCATATGTCAATGGACTTTGAAAATATTTGAACTATTACAAAAACTTTAACGTAAATTCTAAGTCGAAAAAGGGGCATAATTCTGTCAAAATGCTTGATAGAGTTACCTCCTCCTGTCTACAGGTTGGGGTCATGATGGTGAACAAGTGTGCAAAGTTTCAAAGCCATATGTCAATGGACTTTGAAAATATTTGAACTATTACAAAAACTTTAACGTAAATTCTAAGTCGAAAAAGGGGCATAATTCTGTCAAAATGCTTGATGGAGTTACCTCCTCCTGTCTACAGGTTGGGGTCATGATGGTGAACAAGTGTGCAAAGTTTCAAAGCCATATGTCTATGGACTTTGAAAATATTTGAACTATTACAAAAACTTTAACATAAGTGGTTACGCTGACGCCGACGCCGACGCTCGGGTGACTGCAATAGCTCTACTTATTCTTATCGAATAGTCGAGCTAAAAATGTGTTAGCAAAGTAAACAGGCTCTGGCTTCAAGAATGAAGAAGGTATGGTCAAGGTTTTAGTTGACCAAAGAGAGATAAATGGGACAAAATGATCTGTCTGTGTCTTAGTGGGAAGGCAGAAAAAATGTTTCACAAGTACATGTACTTATCACTACCACTCAGTCAGAACATCTATATCAAACATTTTACCTTCAGTCTAAAATGGAAAGAGTAAAGAATTTGTTCTTTTGGTGAAGGTTTCACGGACTGGTTGGTATCTGCCCAGATTGGAACCGGCCTGTCCCCACCGGAAACCTTTTGTAATAGCTCATTTACTTCCTGAAAAACAAACAATAACAGCACTGAAATACATTATTAACCTGAAATGTAATTCAATAATAATATAAAGAACTTTATTATTTCTCAAATATCTTTTTATCTTTGGTTTTCTGTTAGTTTCTAAACAGAACTTGTTTGCCATATAGGGCCGGCATTTGTGAATGTATAGTGACTCTGTATTTTGTATGGTTGACAAAGTACCTTTTCATAAATATTTTTCTAACAGAACACCCAAACACAAAAATGTTTCAAAAGAAGTATAGCAAACAGATAATTTAATGTTTTAATGACCATCTTGTATTGGTAGGCAGAGTAGCATTCACAAGTGCTGACAACCTGACATGGGGACAGACTGACTACAGTATACTCTGTTACTCTGGGTATAATTATTTCAACATTCAATGCTTTCTTCACATGATAAGCATCCAACATGTTTTAATCCATGATTAAACCACTGAAAATCACTGGTTTGCTTTTCTTAATATGTTAAAATGTATTTACTTCTAATGCTTTCTGTGCCTTTTAAAGAGATTTTATTTTTTGTATACTTTATTCATGCAAGAACTAACTTTAATTTTACTTATAGTCCCCAATTTGCAAAAACTCTTAAAGTGGCAAAGTCCTTGGTTTAAACAAATAGTCAAGAAGGCCACTTTAGAAATCCACTGTTTGATATATTGATTGATTTTGTTCAGTCACACAATGGTGCAAATTTTAAATGATATCAAAAAAGGTTTTTTGGGTTTGTTTCAAAGTCAGCAGTGAAATTTCTACTGCTCAAAGACAAGGTTCCTAAAATCTGCCATACAACATATCATAATTGTAGATCTAGTACAATTTGATCAGAAATAGTCCAAACAAACACAAAAATTTACAATTAGAAGCTCCTGAATATAGGTAATATAAGAAATGTTTTCTATATAACTGTCAAGCAAAAAAGTTGTTTTTAGCTCTGACTTTACTGCACTGTATATCTAAACACAATACTAATTTGAGCCGTGCCAGGACAAAACCAACATAATGGGTTTGCGACCAGCATGGATCCAGACCAGCCTGCGCCTCCGGGCGGTCTGATCAGGATCAATGCTGTTCGCTAACCAACCCTATTACAAGTAGAGAAACTGATAGCGAACAGCATGGATCCTGATCAGACTGCGCAGGCTGGTCTGGATCCATGCTGGTCGCAAACGCACTATGTTGGTTTTGTCTTGACGCTGCTCATTTTACCTTCATGAAGACTTTCTGTACAAAGACCAGATGGTTTAATAGATCAGTTGTTAAACTGTGCTCAAACATCCCAACTTCTGCCACAGCATTCAAATAATTTCCTTCCTAAAAACAATTACAAAACATTAATGTGCTCTAAAATACAAACAAAACAAAATTTACCAACATTCTCATCAATTTCCCTTCAAAAATACACAATTATTACATTTTCCATCATGGTGCTGGGTGTAATAAAGCCATTTAGTAACAAGAGCTATCAGTGGTCACAGGTGTCACCTGGTGAGTTGATAGCCAATTAAGCAGTAGTATTGAGGGGTGATTAGACAGTTTCATTCGCATATGTCACAGCGACTTTGTAGCATGTTGCAGCCACTGTGTAGCAAAGACACAAAAATCAGATCAAATGCCTTTTTCATTCAAGGACCATACTTAAGCCAAGTATCTTTCAACTGGAAAACCCATTAAATATGTGTAAGTACTTCAGGACCAATCAATCCTGCGAAGTTTCACTCAAATTGCACTCTTTAAAATTTAAAAGACAAAACAAAGGCATTTAAATATCTTACCTGCAATGGATCTTTATAAAAAGATTCACACAGACAATCTGTGTGTTTACAATAGCTATACATTTTTTTCTTCAAACAATAGAGCAAAATCTTAATACTTCTTAGAATTTGAGAAATTAGCATTTGACAATCTTATAATTGATCACTTAATTTGTTAATGAATCCAGAACCTTATCAGCATAATTATGCCGGATAATCACCTGTCTGTAAATTTATCATAAAATATACCTTTAGCATTAGACCCTTAGTCATGTCTGTAAATCTATCATTAAACTTACCTTTAGCATAAGACCCTCTGTCAGGTCTTCTGTGATTGGTGCATTAGCACTATAGTGTCTGTAGTCAGCATAAACATGGATAGGTGGTAGATCTATACTAGCTGATGACGGTATTGATGTCTCCATTGTTTTCACCTGCAAACACAATCATTCATATACGGTGTAAAATACAGACTCATTTTTTAACTTTGCTGCAAGATGACAACACAGTGCTCTCTCTCAGCAACAATTATTATCTTTGTCACTTTTAAAGGGTGTTTAACTCTGCAATGGTTGTACTGTAACAACATACGGCAGACTGGCCAACCCTTTTGGATATTTCATATTAATTTTGGAACTATTTTGTTATCAAAGATGACTGATTTCATTACCACAAATTTCACATAACACTATGATATTTGTCAGCTTGGTGGATTGATTTCCACCTGATAGATCAGGTTAAAAGTACATGCTAGAGTTATGGGTCTTGGTCATCAACCTATATTTATGATTCAAAGATATGATTAACATTTCAAGCAATTATCTTCTGTTGTATTTGAGACACAATTTGCAAACAAAATGTCAACTAGGAATTGTTTAAACTTCACAAAGGGGAATAATTCAGTCACAGTTCATGTTAAGAGTTCTAGGTCTTGGATCGTGACCTATAAATATCATTGTGAAGACATGTGTGAATAAATATTTAAATGAATATATTCAGTGCTTGATAAGATATGACATTGAATGATCGTTAAAACCTGAAAGCAGCCTTCAGCTTTTTTTTCTGTTAGAAAAACAGTTATGTCTTGTTTCAAAGTAAGTATTTCAGGAATTTTATCGAGCTCTTTATAACGCATCTGAGTGACCTTTGTTTCTAAAAATAGAAAATCTGGAAATGAATCATCCTCTTTACTTATTTAGATATACAGAGCAAATCAGTAGATTTAGAGTTAACAAGGGGTTTCCTTATTGTTTATGTACTTCATTGTTGGCAAAATAAATTTTCTACCTCAATTCTTTTGATTTGACAATTATATGAAACAATTTATCTAAAAATACCATATTTAACCTTTAGAAATGCTGAAGGTGGCTCTTTGAATAGTTAAATTTTACTATAACCATGAAATCTTAACCCTTAGTCTACTGTCAGTGACATAATATCCTTTGTTGTGTTGTGTATCAGACCAGGCACTATAATAACAGAGTAGCTAAGCCTTGCGGACCAGGTGCTGATTTAACAGAGTGCTTAAGCCAAGCAGACAAGGTCCCAATTTATCAGAGTACCTAAGCCTAGCAGACCAGGTGCCGATTTAAAAGAGACTACTTAAGCCTAGCAGACCAGGCGCCAATTTAACAGAGTACTTAAGCCTAGCAGACCAGGTGCCGATTTAACAGAGTGCTTAAGCCTAGCAGACCAGGTGCCAATTTAACAGAGTACTTAAGCCTAGCAGACCAGGTGCCAATTTAACAGAGAACTTAAGCCTAGCAGACCAGGTGCCGATTTAACAGAGTGAGCTAGCTTAAGCCTAGCAGACCAGGCGCCAATTTAACAGAGTGCTTAAGCTTAAAGACCAGGTGCCGATTTAACAGAGTGCTTAAGCCTAGCAGACCAGGTGCCGATTTAACAGAGTGCTTAAGCCTAGCAGACCACATGCCGATATAGCAGAGTTCCTAAGCCTAGCAGACCAGACGCCAATTTAACAGAGTACTTTAAAGCCTAGCAGACCAGGTGGCTATTTAACAGAGTACTTAAGCCTAGCAGACCAGGTGGCTATTTAACAGAGTTCCTAAGCCTAGCAGACCAGGCGCAACTTTAACAGAGTACCTTAGCCTAGCAGACAAGGGGTTGATTTAACAGAGTGCTTAAGCCTTGCAGACCAGGTGCCTATTTAACAGAGTACCTAAGCATACCATACCAGGTGTCGATTTAACAGAGTACTTAAGCCTTGTAGACCAGGTGCCTATTTAACAAAGTGCTTAAGCTTAGCAGACAAGGTGCCAATTTAACAGAGTACTTAAGCATACCGTACCAGTTTAACAGAGTACTTAAGCATACCGTACCAGTTTAACAGAGTACTTAAGCATACCGTACCAGTTTAACAGAGTACTTAAGCATACCGTACCAGTTTAACAGAGTACTTAAGCATACCGTACCAGTTTAACAGAGTACTTAAGCATACCATACTAGGTGCTGATATAAAAGAGTACTTAAGCATACCATACCAGATGCCAGTTTAACAGAGTACCTAAACATCTTGTCAAGGATCAAGCTGTTCGACAGTTATCTTTTTGATTTTAGAAAATTGGATAGTATTCAAAAATTAAGCTGACAATATTTCTTTAGCAAATAACAGCAAAGGATTAAAAGTTATAATCATTATATTCAAGTGTTGTTAGAGTTGGCCAACCTGCTAATGAAAACAATAATAAAAAATAATCTAACAACCTAAAACAAGGAGAGAAAATGTATTTAGGACATAAGAAAATTTTCCATTTGAGAGTAAACTGGTAATATCGAAAGTTATCTTATAAAAGTATGTATGTGAACTTAAATGTACCGTCTGCCTTAAAATTTCACTTTTTTTTTTTTTCTTTAAAATACGAAAACTTTCTTTACAGTAATGCAAACTATTTCATGCACAGCCATTAATGCACAATATTGTTTCAAATTTCCAAACAAATTTTTCCAGAGTCAATATGAAAATAGTATGTTAAGCGTAACATTACATACCAAACATAGTACAGTAAAAGCATTCTACATCAGAGTGGAAGCTTGATTGTGAAATAGCAGGTGAAGAAAACAGTTAATATTCAGCTCATCAATGAAATACATTTTAGTTCTATCAGTGAGATAAACTCCGTATCACTCACTGTGTATCACTCATTACACAAACCTTACATTTTAATCAAAATTTAAAAAAAAGGGAGATAATCATTATAATCATGATCAACACTAAAAACTACTTTTCTAACAACACTGATTGAGTGCTTGGTTAAATGGATCATTTTATAATGAAAATAAATTCTAAGACTTTTAGATTAATTAACATATAATAATTGTTATTAAACCCTATATGGTGAATTTCCTAAAATGAAATTAATCCAGCTTCCAATTTAGGATTTGTCCATTATCAATTTTGGGGATATCAAGATGAAAATCAAAGTGAGTCACCAAACAGTAAGGAGCCTAGTCAGACTGTATGGACATGCTGGCTGGCCTGGTTATATACTGGTCGCAAATGCTTATCACTTTCAGTTCAAACAGGGAAAGGTTTAAATATAACTAAGATTAGATTGACCTTTAATGTGACATTATGCCCATCCGAGCTTATAAAGTGAGTGAACAATTATAGAAAGTCAATAAGTTTACATTTTGCAATAATTCCTTTTAATTTTATAATACGACAAATAACGCATGTTGCTTAAAGAAATTTGTGTAAAAATATCCCAACGGAATTTACTTAAAAAATTCAATTTATAAAAAGAGTGGGGCAGTTTATTTTTTATTTTAGACAGAACACTTTCAAATATCGCCTGTTGGTCAGTCACTGGTATATCAGTCAATCTTTTGAAATATATAGTCCATTCAGCTCAATTTGACAACAACAAAAATTAGCACAATGGCACTTTAAGTTAGAATCTATAATCTTGTCCTGATTTAAATACACACTATTCTCTATTAATGAGAGGTTTTAGACATCAAATGCCCTAAAAATAAGCAGTGAACAGTATAGACAGGTTTTATATGCATGGTTGTTCTTGCTGGCCTGGCTCTATGATGGTGGAATTCCTTATCAGCGCTAGCATACCTACAGTTCAAGGTCACATGGAAATGGAAGCAATTATTTTTCAACAATTTGAGCAGAAACAACATAATTGTTCTAATATTTAGATTAATTTCAGATAAACCATTGCGCCAGAGTGTAATAAACCAATTTAAAATAACACTTTGGGTTATATACAAATAATAATAATAAAACAGCTAATGTTAACGTTACACTATAGGTGCGCCAATGAAAAATGACTCTTAATTTACTGTAAGCCGTTCTTATTTTGAATATGTGATAGATGGAATACCGTATCATATTTATGAAGATTCAATATTAAATTTATTGAAAAAGCTGAATAAAACGATATTATGCTCACCAGAGGCTTGCATAATATAATTTTATTCAGCTCATTTACTGAAGCTTGCATGATATGATTTTATTCAACTTGTTCAATAAATTTAACATTAAATAACACTCATTCAATATCCTTTAATCCTTTATATCAATAAAACAATACAAGAGAGAAACACAAGAGATGATAATGTGAATAGGAGAATAGGATATAGTAGGAAAGTTATCTCTGACAGAAATATTTAGTAAATAAAAGCAAGGAAAATTAAAAACAAAATATTTATTATAAATACACATAATAAAAAAATCAATCTAGCTTGTGAACAGAATTCAAACATAAATATTACTGGCAAAAACTGTTTCATTTCTGGTCTCCCTACAAACTCTCTTTTTTTAACTGACAACCAAATACTTTTTAATTCCCTTTTACTCTTTTTCAAACTCTTTTTCTTGAAAATAATATATATTTAAATTTATATAAAAATTAATAAATAAATAAAATAAATTCCTACTATCAACCCCCCTTTTTTGTTTGGGGACCAGAAAAAAGACTTTTCGTTTTTGGCCTCATAAACATGCTTGTGGAGAATAAATGTGAAATAAATTGCCATTATAGTATACCTTTCCAAACATTTCAGACTATAAAATGGGTAAAAAACAACACAAAAATACAGAAACAAAAACATCACATAAAATAAGTAGGATTTTTTTTGTTGTAAATTTTGAGGGGAGCAAAAACGTGGGAATAAAATGGGGGTGGGGATGGGAGTGTCTAAATACTACCACAACTTGCCACATCTATAAATCTACATACATGTACAGAATTACCAACATAAAACAGGTCATGCTGTTATCTTTATTACATTGAAAAATTTAAAGAAAAAAAAACTCCAAACACTCAAAAATAGATTTTCAAAACTAACATGATTGAAAATTTTACAAAAAAACAAACAAACAAACAAACAAAAAACGCAATTAAATGTATTACATGGACAAAATGAAAAAATGGAATTTTTTTTAGCATTCCAAGTGAAAAACAAAGGCACCACATGCGGTTTTAACACTCCTCTGTTAAATGCAATACTCGATGTTGACAAACATTTCAAGTTAAAGCATAATTCTAAAAATATAGCTTTCACAATTATGCCCCTTATCTAACAACTGCACCTTGTCAATTAATAAGCAATTAATCCAAGTTTCATGTTGAAATGTTAAAATAATGAACTACATTAAAATTTTTGCATGACAAAATGATCATAATAGCTTTACTTTTTGTTTGAAACAGATAAGCTTAAAATGATCAATGTTAAAAAATGAGAAGACATGACCCATACTATTGTTTTATTTGTTTGTATTTACTGGTAACCTGTTTTTTTTGTTTTTTTTGAATTGCACATTTCCAATTAGGGTAAACCGGATGAAAAATTGAAGTTGGTTCGTCAGCAGTATAGAGCCTGGTCAAACTGCACAGATGTACAGGCTGGCCTGGCTCTATACTGGTGACAAAGGCTAATCTTATCATTTTCAATTTAGGTCAAGTTAAGGGATTAATACAGACAAAACTAGAATAGAACACATGGAGACAAACCTTGGATTTAAAGCTGAGAGTGTGGTGTGGTAAGTCTAACGTAAACTTGGCTTTCTTCAGAGTGATACCACTTATTGTTATAGGTCCAGTCTGAAAACAAAAATGAACAATCAGAAAACACAAATTACAACAACAACAATAACGGTAAATACAGTAAACTCCGCTTATAACGATATTCAGGGGACATACAAAACTATATCGATATATCCGAATATCGTTACAACCGAATTTCTGTACGGTGTGTAGCTTACTGACGATGCACTGCATCGTTCAACATGTATAAGCAGTAGCATTATATACTAGACATGTGACAATCATGTACTTACGACAAAACTTTATTCTTTTTATGCATATCAATGTTGAATGCATAAAAAATCAGTTGCACATCAAAATAAACACAAAACTGACATAAACCGAAAGTAATATGTACACAGGTACTGGTAACCTTACATTGGCTTAAATTTATACACTGGAAAAAAAAACGTCAAAATTAAATTGCTTTTTTAACTATTTACACTCATGGGTAAATCTTGTTTAAGTTTTGTTCATGTACAAAGACATTCACTGTCGGAAAAAATCAGTTAATTTTGTCTGCTTTTTGGCTTTCCCTATTTCAACTGAAAATTTCTCAAGTTCATGTAAACATCCGAAAACAGAATCATACGTTTGTCAAGTTTTTTCACCCAACTGATAAATATTTCTGAGTTCATCCAAGCACGACGATTAGCTTCGTAATCTACCGGCAAACTTTTAACATTTTTAAAACATCTAGGATTTTTGAATTTTCCGATTATCAAAAGTTTAAGTTTATCAGAACCGTCCATATTTGCGCCGATAAGCACTGTGATTCTGTCCTTGCTTTGTTTGCCTCCAAAACATTTTGTTCCTTTTACCTCTAGTGTTTTATTTGGGGTCATTTTATAAAAAACGCCAGTTTCATCGATATTGTAGACATTTTTTGGTTCATAGTCCTTGATCAAACTTGGAAGTTTTTTGACTGCATCCAATTTTCAGTTTGTGAATTATCGACTGAAGCACCTTCACCGGATAATGTTTTGCTCGATATGCCATGACGATTTTTGAATCTTTCAATAAATCCGTTTGTTGCCTGAAAGTTTTCCATGCCCAGCTCACATGCCAGAGAAATTAGCCTTTCGTGTAAGCATAGGTCCATCAATAGGCACATTTTTGGGATCGTACAGTCTTAAAACCACTTCAAACAGCGCCATTTCAATGTCTCCTATTACTGGCATGACCCATTCGTTTACGGCCTGGGCTGAACGACGTTAGTCTCGTATGCATTGATGACAGAATCTTTTATTTTCCAGATTGAAACTTAATGTGTTTTTTTTAATTCCAAAATCGTTTGCAATGTCCTGTTTTTTTACGTTTTACCAAGATTAATCTTTGAAATTAATTTATATTTAGTTTCAATATCCAAAAATTTTTTCTTTTTTCGTATTTTTTTTCTGACATGTTCGACTGTTTTTAGCTACATGTACATGTATAACTTATTTTTTACAACGAAAATTGAGACCGCTCTTCCACAACAAATTGTGCAGCAAATTATTCATTTTTAAGAGGGTATATATGTGCGTTGGGGTTGAAAATCCACATCGATATATCGAAATATCGATACATGCGATATCGATATATGCGAGGATGCTTCCGTTAGGTTATAATGGAAGTTGGCAGGGACCAAGACAAACGTATCGATATAACCGATATATCATTACAAGCGATATCGATACAGTTGGAGTTTACTGTATAAGGAGTTCCAGTACAATCTTTATACTATATATGGATATCGTACAACCCTGATGAAACCTTGTGAGAGTCAAAACGTCCATTATCATCATTAAATAAACCTAAAAACTTATCCTGTGTTGATTGTTTGTTCCACTTGTATCATTTTTCCTAGTATATTTGATTTTGTTTAGAACTAAATTACCAACATTAATTTTATACACCTGCAGCTGGCAAATATTACATTAGTTTTCCTGGACACTGACTTGTTCACAAACTCAATAAAACCAAGTCTGCCATTTTCAAATATTTACTTTATTTCAATATTACTTAACTTAAAATGTTTTCTTTTGTTCTGTATCTGTTTATATACTTGAGGAGGCCATTACTGGTATAAACCCTATGTTTTCATTGACCTTGAGAGACCTTCCCATTTTATTTTATTTTTCTGCACAAATTTATAAAAAAATTCCATCCATACTATTTTTTCCATATTTCACACTATGTAAAGCCACAGTTTTAACATCATGTGTATTGACTTTCTAAACTCATATAATATTCCTTATTCATAAAACTTATAAGACTATGAGAAAATGTCATCAAAGATTTGCATTGAAGAAGATTTCTGTCCATAAGGTTTTGCAAAGAATAAAATTTTGCAACCATTTATATGAAAGAAAACAAGATTGCATTTGAGAAAAATGCCATGCCACCGCATGGTTCAAATTTCATAGCTGTACATCAAAGGACAAGAAAGTAGGTCACATCATCAAAATCAAGGTCAAAGTTCAATTTTACAACTAAAACTGTGCACATGGTCAAAATGTCATTGCTGTACATCAAAGGACAAGAAAGTAGGTCACTGTCTCCTTGGGCAAGGCATAATTTTGACCCAAGGGTTTAATAACAATCTTGATACAGGTTCACCAAACAACATTTCAAGTCAAATATCAAGCTATAGCTTTCTCCCATTCAGAAAACATTTTTTTATTTTTTTCGTTTTAATACGTGTACATAATGAGAATCACTGCCCCCAGCAGGGCCAATTTTTTGACATTTGAACAACTTTTGGTAGAGGACCTATAGATGATATTATATATCAAACATTCAAAGCTCTATGCCTTTGAACCTTCAGACAAAAATTTTTTTTTTTTTTCACTATATGTACATAATGAAAATCAAATGACCCCTGGGGCAGAACCAATTTTGACCCCAGGGCTATAAAATTTAAACAATCTTGCTAGAAGGTTCACTACACAATTGTTTCATGCAAAAATATCTTAACTCTATCCTTTGTTTAAATTTAGAGAAGATGATTTTTTTAAGTTTTAACTATATACATATAAGATAAACCTATGGCTCCCAGGGGCGGGGCTAATTTTGACACAAGAGGCAAAATTTGAACATTTTTGGTAGAGTACCTTTAGATGATATTATTTAACAAATATTAAAGCTCTAAGCCTTGAACCTTCAGACAATAAGATTTCTTTTATTTTTTTACTATATGTATATATTGAAATCAATGACCCCCATGGCGGGGGCAATTTTGACCCAAGGGCTATAATTTGAACAATCTTGCTAGAGGTTTACAACACAATGTTTCATGCAAAATATCTAACCTCTAGCATTTGTCAATTGCTAGAAGAATTTTTTTAAGTTTTTACTATATACATATAAGGAAAACCAATGACCCCTGGGGCGGGGCCGATTTTGACCCCAGGGCTATAATTTGAACAATCTGGGTAGAGGTCTACCAGACAATGCCTTATGCAAAATATCTAAGCTCTAGGCCTTTTGGGTCTTTACAAGGTGTTTTAAGTTTTTACTATATGTACATATTGCGAAAATCAATGACCCTGGAGCGGGGCCGATTTTGACCCAAGGGCTATAATTTGAACAATCTTGGTAAGGGTCTACCAGATGATGCCTTGTGCAAAATATCTAAGCTCTAGGCCTTTTGGGTTTTTACAAGAAGATATTTAAAGTTTTTACTATATGTACATAGTGAAAATCAATGACCCCCGGGGCGGGGCCAATTTTGACCCCGGGGCTATAATTTGAACCATCTTGTTAGAGGTCTACCAGACAATGCCTTATGCAAAATATCTAAGCTCTTAGGCCTTTTTGGGTTTTTACAAAAAGATTTTTTAAATTTATCTTATTTAATTCCTTTTGGTTGCCATGGCAACCAGATTTCTGCATGGAATGAAATTCTTTGAACAACTTTGGAAGCCCTTCACCCAAGGAACAATCCTGCCAAGTTTGGTTGAAATTGGACTAGTAGTTTTTCACAAGAAGATTTTTTAAGTTCACTATATAATCTATATAACACACACACACACACAAACACACAGGTGAATCGCTATATGCCACCGCATCACAGATGCTGCGGTGGCATAAAAATAAATATTGACAGACAGATTTTTTATACATCTTCTTACCTTATGTTGAGCTCTGAGTGATGGTAATAATGATGCACCTATTGTGATTCCCTGTAGAATGGCTTTCAGGTGAATATGCAAGGTCACTGACTTTTTCGCTTCGAAAATTCTCTGTGGGCGTGGCAGAGTTGAAGGGCGGGATGTTTCAGCTCCTGAACCTTTGGAGTCTATGGTGCCATAATCCATCTCAGCAGTTCTGAAAGACAAGAAAATATTCTGTAAACCAGATTTCAATAATTATAACTACATGTAACAATAAATTACTATAAACAAGATTGCCTGCATTGCTACCAATCATAATCATTTGTAAAGTGATGTCAGTCAAAGAATTGTTTTTTAAAGAAATTTCACAGATATATAATATTTGAGTGCATGGTTACTATAAAGATTTCAATACAAAAATTCTCAACTAGATGGACAGATAAAAACTTCCATGAAACTCAGTGAGACAGTGCATAATTTTTCAGCATATCATTGGCCAAATCAAGTTATCTATATCAATATTGCATTAAAATCGTATCATACAATTATTGTAAAAGGACGAGCTGTAGACCCAAATCTATGGACATGGCAAATCTGTGGCCTTGGTGAATATCACATAAGCATGGTCCATATACTTTGATATTTGATCAAAATCTCCATACAATAACTATTTTATTATATGACAAAATAAAAAAATTTCAAGTGGAAAATTTTTGAAGTTGTCCGATTTTCTTTTTCTCAAAAACAAGCCCTACTGGTTTCCTAGCAGTTTCCAGCCACAAATCGCACTTTTTAACAAATAAAATAAAAATCAGTCTAGGGAGGGGTACAAAACTTTGACAAGACAAAGTTAGGTACCTGTCTAGCATTGCCATGTGTTTAATGTTAACCTTCCATTTAACTTTTTAATTTGAATATAGGCCTGAAATGTAACACCTTTTTTCACCTTTATTCAAAAATTCATAGCAGTTTTCCGGACCTTTTTTATTTTGAATATAATTCAGTACCATAAAGCAATGTTAAGATGGTTTTATCAGACAAACAGAACTTCCCAACCTTTTCCGTGTCGTCTGCAAAAATATTTTCCGAAATATTGACTTACTAAAATGGGGTCTTAGTTATTGCAAATGGATATTCAAACTAGAATTCCCAAGGTGTTGCTTATTTTTGAAAGTCGCAAGTTCTCTTATGTAACTTTAAATAACAGGCAAAACTTCAAAACATATAAATCGTTGTACTACTTTAAATGCTGTTTAGCATAGAAAACAAATGTCTCTCTAATTGATGAAGTAATGCGGATGCCTTACTGGTAAAAATAGACTGTACTGGACGAAAATGATAAACGGCCGGAAAACTGCTAGGGGACGGAAACTGCTAGGAAACCAGTAAATAAGCCGACGGAAATGGCAGAAGTTGTTTCTTTAATTTTTGACATTTGATTCCATTATAAACCAAGCAAATGTTCATAAGATAACACAAAAAAAACCCTGTTAAAAACCTTAATTTTCTCCTGAATTTTTTTGACAGAAAAATATGCTGTCTGAATCTGTGTTAAGTATCATTGTTTTTGATTGGTCAGCTAGTACTCTATAAACCATAAAGTCATGAAGGTCTGGCTTATAATAATGGACGGTTAAATTTGGTACTATTCTTTTAGATGTTATAACAAAGTTTGTTTTGATCAATATTCCCAGGTTAATATCACTTTCCTATGAACTGTAGAAATTCATAGTCATATGATAACCATACTGCACTCAAATATTAAAGGAACTCAACTGAGGTAATTAAGCCTAAAAACTTAGAATTTTGATTTTTCACATAGATAAACATGAGCACTTAAAACAGAAATATAAATAAAATATAATTAAGAAATATATAAGAAATACGTACATTGAAAAGCATATGTTTGTGCTATTCTCAGTCCGAGCTTTTCAATTTGGGTCATTTTTAACTATTATAATAATTATTCTGGAAAAACGGAGCTTTTATCTGGACTTTTGCACATCAGTTATAAGTATAGATCTACATCAAATGGGGTAATAATCTCAAAAAATTATTTCCAGTACCGTTATGTCAAAAAACCTCAGTGGAATCCCTTTAAATATTCATTAAAAGCACTCAAAAATATCATAGCCATATAAAAATGCAAAAAAATTATACATATACTTATCGTTAATGCACTCAAAAGTTAAAAATACCTTTAAAGAATAATACATCCCTCAATTATGCACTCAAAATAAAATATATTCATACCTTGCTCTTGATATTGGTCTTCTGAATTCCTGTAAAGTACTTGACAATTGAGTTGTTCCCCTTGTCAACATGCCATGCAGAACCACTGGATGCTGAGGGATGTCTACTTCTATTTCTCCTATAGAAACAAGGGCAGAGTTATGGCCCTTGCCCCTCCTTTTTACAGTGGTATGCAATGCTTGTGATCTGCCAACATTCACTGTCACCACAGTTCTGAAAATATGAAAGAGCACCTTAAAAATATGAAAATGTACATTTTAAAATGCGCACATTGAAAATGAATTCCATCACTTATAAGAATGACAAAACAAATGCATAATGTACATTCATTTTCATTAAAATATGGTATTAAAATGAAAAATATGCTCATCTTTGGGCAAAATACTTTTATTGAAGAAATTTATTGAAATCTAGAAAACTCTCACTGAATGTGTCTAATTTAAATAAGAGAATGAGAATGCACAAACTATTTTTAGGGAGCTACATTCCCCATTCCCTTGTACTGGGTAAGGTAATGTGGTCTTTACTATAAAAACAATACAAAACTGGCAGTTTGTGTAGAAAATCTCCGTGTATACTCAAAAGATGTTTATTTTACATTTATAAATAGACTGTAAAGCAATTTGCAACTTGCCCATCTTCTTTATACTTTCGAAACTCATGTTAAGAAGCTAACAAGCTTCATACCAACATGGGCAGTTTTAAACAGGTGTAAGATTAAGCCTGAAATAAAGCAAAGAAGGGCAGTTGAGATCTTTTTCAAGCAAAGAAGCTGGAAATTTTACAAAAGACAACATCAGTGTTGACATGAACTAAAAGAAAGCTTAATGATTGCCATAACACTTTTACAGTGTTGGAATGACCTTCAGCTACAAAACAATGACTACAAAACATCTTCTCAACTTACTGTAAGCTTGGACCCTCCAGTAGTACAAGCATGGTATGGCCAACATGTACAGTAAAAGATGACTCGGAAGATTTCCTCTGGAGGAAACCCTTTACTTTTTCTTTAATCGTGCCTGTACCGTGTACATTCCTCATTTCAGCTTCCAGTTTTAAACCACTCAGTACTGCCAGGATTTTCACCTTCTCTACCTTAGCTATACCAAACACTACCAGTGGTATACTATCCCCGATGTATATACCTGTAAAATATAATTGTTAACATGGGGAAAAGCAAGTTTACTATCCACAATATACAACAGTTAAAATAGGACAGGGTGTGCACAGTTAACATAGGAAATGGTGTACAAATGGAATAATTTGTTACTGAAGTTTGAACATATACTTAGTAACTGGTAAAGCTGCATGCCTCCAGATGAGCCAAAATATTTCAAGAAAATCAATATTGAGACAAATGTACTTAAATTTAAGAAAGGTAAAACATTCAAGATCTAAGTTATATTTTTTATGTTATATTCAATTTCAGACTGATTTTGTAGAATTTATATATTTCTACTGTGTTACTAATGCAGTTAAGGCTATTTTTGCATATGCAGAAGAGTTTTTGTTATTATTCTTGAATTGTTAGTGTCAACTGCAATATGTAAATTACTTTTTTTGTTCACCTCACAGTATTTTACTTTTAAATACATTTCCAAAATTGTTATGAAAATTAACATGAATCTGGAGACGTGCCTCTGAATATGTTGCCAATGCACGTAAATAAGATGTCAGCAGTGGTGCAACGGCTATTGGAATGCTGCCAAATCAAAAGTAATTTAAGAATAGTCATCATAGCGGTGTAACTTTCAACTTATATTTTAAAGTTATGACATTTGTATCAAGAACAAGAGCGATCAGTAATCACATGTGTCGCCTCATGATGGCCAATTTCATGTTGGGACAAATTTTGTGACAGACGGACAGTGCACAACTAGACTTGGTACTGATCATTCCTGTAAAGTTTGGATAAAATTGCACCAGTAGTTTATGAGGAGTAGTCCGGACAAGCTTTTGCGTATCTTGCAACACACAGAAAAAAAACCTTTTTATCAAAGGGCCATAACTCAGCCAAAAATCATTCAACCGAAAAACCCGTGCAATATGCGCAAGGACTTGAGCAACAGATCAATCCTGTAAAGTTTCATTGAAATTGCATTAGTGGTATAAGAGAAGTAGTCCGGACAAACTTTAAAAATAAAAATTATTAAAGGGCCATAACTCAAACAAAAATCATTGAACCGGAAAATGCTGACAATATGCACAACTAGACTTGGTACTGATCATTCCTGTAAACTTTGGATGAAATTGCACCTGTAGTTTATGAGGAGTAGTCCGGACAAGCTTTTGTGTATCTGGCAACACACAGAAAAAGAAACTTTTTTATCAAAGGGCCATAACTCGGCCAAAAATCATTAAACCGGAAAACCCTTGCAATATGCGCAAGGACTTGAGCTACAGATCAATCCTGTAAAGTTTCATTGAAATTGCATTAGTGGTATAAGAGAAGTAGTCCGGACAAACTTTAAAATTAAAAATTATTAAGGGGCCATAACTCTGACAAAAATCATTGAACCGGAAAATGCTGACAATATGCACAACTAGACTTGGTACTGATCATTCCTGTAAAGTTTGGATGAAATTGCACCAGTAGTTTATGAGGAGTAGTCCAGACAAGTTTTGTGACGGACGGACGGACAGACGGACAGACAGACAGACAGACGGACAGACAGACGACGGAGAAGTGATCCCTATATGTCGCCACTACTCCGTAGAGGCGACACAAAAATGCCATAAAGAACAAAATGGAATAAAAAACTGTATGCACATACATAGTTTAACATCTAAGATGTACATATACATTGTTATTTGTACACGTTTAAGGTTTTCACTGTATATACAGCATCATATACAAACTGTTTAAACTTAAAGTCGATCAGAATTTTAGAAATATATTTACATTATTATAACAGGGCATATAGCTTGACTAAGATAAATATAACCCTACAAGGTAGCCAAGGGTTATACGAATGACAACAAACTTCCCCTTCATAATTGTTAAATGAGCCGTGTCACGACAAAACCAACATAGTGGATTTGCGACCAGCATGGATCCAGACCAGCCTGCGCATCCGTGCAGTCTGATAGGATCCATAATGTTTGCTTACAAACCCTATAGCAAGTAGAGAAACTGATAGCGAACAGCATGGATCCTGATCAGACTGCGCAGATGCGCAGGCTGGTCTGGATCCATGCTGGACGCAAACACACTATGTTGGTTTTGTCATTACACGGCTCAAATAATCTTTACAACAAGCATAATTATATAGTTAACATTTAATATGAATGTATGATATATAAACTTACTTTGTTTGAACCTTGTTCTACTAAATGTAGACCTGGCTAATGGTGTATTCTCATATTCTCCACTACTACTTGTTCCTGTTCCTTGAATGAAAACAAACTCAGTATCAATTTATTTGTCAAGAATCAAACTTTAGAAAGATTTCCATTAAGTCAATGAGCTGTGTATGTAAAAACAAAGACCCCCTATGTCAAAGAGAAGTATATGTAAAAGACAAAAAAAACCTATGTCAATGAGCTGTGGATGTAAAAGACAAAATCCACCTATGTTGTGGATGGAAAGACAAAATCCCACTATGTCAATGAGCTGTTTATGTAAAAGACAAAATTACCTACATGTAAATTAGAAGTATATGTAAAAGTCTGAATCCCCATATGTCAGTGAGCAGTATAATGATAAAGTAAAAGACAAAATTTTCCCTATATCAATGAGCAATGTATGTAAAAGACAAAATCCCCCTATGTCAATGATCATTGTATAATATCAATAATGAAGATTGCTGATAAACAAAAAAAAAAGAATTAAGCTGAAATAAGATCCCTCCTTACACTGCCACTTTAATACTGAATTTTAATTGCAGGCAACCTCACTCTGCCATAATTACATTTAAATTTCTTTTTCACAAAATTTATTTTGCTACCATACCTAGACCAGCTTCTTCCTCAGCAGCTAGATCAATCCTTGTTTTCACGCTTCCCGAAGGTGTACTCATGTTTGCCTTGTCCGACTGCTCTTCTTCAATCACAGGTAACGGCTGTCCCGTAGCTTTCCTATCAACTTTTTTAGTTTCTGGCATCGTGGAGTACAATTGTAACAGATGATATAATGTTCTCCAACAGTGTGGCGTCTCCTCTTTAATCTCGTCCACTATTGTCTTCTCCATTACCGCTGGCGAAGACGTATCGCCTAAATCAACGTGAACAGAATCGCTCAAATTCAACGACTGAGGAGGTGTAACGATATCAGAATGTGTTCCGGGCGACTTCGTCTCTAACTTATGACCTTTCTTGTCCTTTGAAAATTTAACATTTGTCTTCTTCAGTGAACTAGGAAAGCTAAGTCTCTCTGGTCTTATTGTATCAAAAGGAAACTTAAATGAAGATAGTGATGGCTTACTCCTGTGTGACTTTAGAGTGTCAGACTGTCTGGTTTCCGATGCTAAATTTGTCTAAAGATAAATTAAGAAAATAATTCATAAATACATTGATACATGATCAAAAATAGGTGTGTCACAGGTAGCAAAAATGATGAACTTATAAACTGTGACCTAATAACCGTGTTATACGTTTAACCGACAGCAGTGATAAAATTCTTAGATTTTCAACATTAACTCAAATGTTGTACTCAACAATGATTACAATAGAAGTATACAGAAACTATTTTCTGTAAGGACAATACCGTACATAATCAGATAGCATGCAATCGGAGAAAAGAACTAAATTACAAATAGAATGTCATATCTTGTTAGTAAAAAACTAAGATAATGTTTAGATTAAATTATTTTAAAAATCAACACATTGTCTAATATTAACCTCAGTTACCAGTTATTGAGTTTCCTAACCAGTTTTTTACCTTAAAAACAACCTTAACTGTTTAAACGGATAAACTTGACATCCCTAATCAAAAACATACAAAATAAAAAATTCCTCTTTTCTTAAAATGATTTCCTTTAAAATTAAAAACATTTCCTTTTTATCATGTTAATACACAGATTTATGCCTAAAGGGTCAGAATAATACAATGTAGTTATTTTCTTATCATTTTTAGATAGAATTCATATTTGTAGTTCTTGCTTATTAGGTAAAACTTTACTTGTTTAGTAGACATACATAAATTTTTTTTTATTTTTGATATTTCATTCAAAAAGTATATAATTACCCTTGATGAAGATGGACTAGGATCTAATGTTTTGCCTCTACTTAGTTCTGTTCTTGAAGCTTCTGAGTGGACTGTCTCGGCACTGGAGGACGAACCTTTAGAATCTTGTTTTCTGTGAGTTCTTATCCAATCAATTGAAGAGTGTCCTTGCTTTAACTCTATCCGTGTTTCATTCACGTTCCCGACCATCGTTACAAACTGGTGTATCAGTCTAAGCAAGGGCATATCAACATACTGTGTCACAGCCTGACAGTTAACTAAAAGGTTGACTTGAAGCGTTGCTGGTTTTGCCTCTAATTTATGCATCGCAAACTTGAATGGAAATTTCTTAAACCTATCGTCATCTTCAGAATCTCTTTTCTCAAAGTCAGTAACGTCTCTCATAGATACTTTCATTGTAAACATTTCACAAAGGAATGCTGACGAGTCTAAAACTCCGTCGTTAATTTTTATTTTTTTACCTTTACCTTTTCCCTTTCCCTTTGTTCTTACAGAATCTGCTATTTGGATCTTTAAAATGTTTAGTTTTCCTTGCAAAGACAAATTCCCGCCAAAATTTTTCAACATGGCAGTTGGGCGAACATTCTCTACATGTAATCCAATACTCTGAAGGAAAGGTTTAAATAAATTCTGTGCATCGGCCAGTTGCATTATAGATGTACCTAATGTAAAATGTTCTGCGTTTACATCAGTATGACTTTCCTCTGCACCAAGACCTCTACCAAATGCTTCTAAAAATGAATCCTGTCTCCTAACTGAGCTGACTGGCTCCTCCTCCAATGTATGTGACGTAAACCCACCACTCTGCTGCATAGTCATCCAACGGTACAAATCATCCACTTTAGATTTCAACATGTGACTCTTGGACAAATCTCTCTGGAAGGTTTCCAAATAAATACATACATACAATGTACAGTTGTGTCTGTTATATGTGACTTCCAATCAACCTTAAGGAAAAGTTGACATGACAGGGAGTCTCATAATGCAGTCTCAAATAGAAACGTTAAGATTTGCAAACCAAAAGATATATACTGTTTTAAAATTACCAATGTATTTGTATCAAGCAATTTTAAGTCAATAAATAAGCGTGAAAAAGTATGTTAATAAGAAGTTAAAGTAAGAATTGAAATTCATGTAATAATAAGTTGACTGCAGCTTCAAATCAAACTTAACCTGTGTATAACATTATGATATACATGCCATATATAAGCACAATCCTTTAAAAAATTATCCTGGTACAACCAACTGTCTATGGACAGAGGGACTATCAATAACATACATTTGTACTATAATAGGCCTGGACGATACGTCTTCAGGTGTATAAAAACAGAATAAGAAAATGTAAGTATAGAATCATAGCAGGAACAAACCTTGTAGGGTGTTGCAGGAGGAGTGGGTGCTCCATGATAGTCCGCACTAACTGCACTCGCTGACTGGAAGCTGTACACACTGTCATTACGTAACAAACTTGTCATATGCGGGTTTGTCTCTCGCTGAGGTGATTCAAATAGCCTCCGTCCCTAAATCATTACATCGAAAACACAAGATGTTAAAATGTTAGATCTTGGATATTCGTTACAGAGGATTTAATTCAAAATGGCAAATAAACTCCCATTTTTTTATTTCATGTTTCAGCAATATTCCTATATGATTATATAAAACGCATTACAAAAAGTCTATTATTCAAGGAATTTACCATAAATTTTTCATAAATTAAGCAGCTATCAGCTTAAAATCTTTGTAACCTCCCATTTCATCAGATAATCATGACCTTTTTATAGTTTTATATTCACGGCTGCTGTCAATTTATGAAGTGATCTTACTTTTTTCTCTCAAAAAGAAATTTGCTATAAATATTCCTGACAGGTTATATGGCCATATAAAAAGCGGCTCAAGTTATATTTACAAACAACCTTTTATATAAGGCCATATAACTTGTCAAAATATTTATAACTAATAGTATACAGACAATATAGCTCAATGAGTTGAAATAAAATTTTCACCTGAGGGGCTTTCCTTGCATGTTGCACGCCGGACCAGGAGGATGTTCTGGAAATGTTTAAATTAGAAGCTGGTTCCTTGGAGGCATCTCCATACCTCTGTGGACTGGCTCTTAAACTTGACTGGGAAACAGACCTAATATGTTTGCTCCTTAAATTGGAATTGGAACCAGTCTTCTTCCCAATGACATCCTCGTCAATCAGGGACGACTTTTCGTCTTCGAGATGCACTGAAACATTTCCATCATCATCGTATGCATTCCCTTCTTCTTCATATTCATTTTCCGACGATGGTACTGCAAAAGACACAGTGTAAGGCCGGTGCTTTCTTGACTTAAAATTCATCTGGGAGATTTGAGGCATGTAAAGTACGTTTTTCCACTGCCTAGTTAGAGCTAAGATACCTTTCTGGATTGTTATAAGTTGTGGAATAGTTTCCGAGCTTACAGCTTGTTCTACGAGGAACGTGCCCTCCTTGTGAATATAACGTCGCAGGACTGTTAACAACTGACAAGAGGCATCTTCTTGTAAAGTTCTTGAAAAATTCGTAATTCTTAAATATTTACTCTGAAATAGAAACAGAAATTATGATTACTGAAACATACATACAGCTATCAAACTTTTTCATGCTTTATAAGTGGGCTTGAGCAATTGAAAAGTTGAAACATTTATTTTTTTTTCAAAATTTTTAACTCTAGTGGCATGATGTACCGGTATTTAACATTTGTAGTGCACCGCTTGGTAATGGTACATACCAAATACCTAAGTGATGGGCCATTCAAGTTTCAAAAAATCATTTTTTAAACAAAATTTATTTACAATGAGATGTTCCATAATAATTGAAAATAAAATTTGCTCATTTTATATTATTTCTAGTATTTTTAGAAAAAAAAAAAAAAAAAAACATGCATGTGTTATTTACATTGAAATAGTCCTCAGTTCAATTAAGGAGTTGTTTTTTTAAAGTGATAGGGTCTCTGCTGAAAACAGCAACCGTGTTAAAGTCACAAAACAAACATTTGAGTTTTATTGATGACCTCTATTTATTTAAGCTTAAAGCTTTTCAGATATCATCTACACAATTAAATCAACAACTCCTACGCCATAGTAGTGAAAAGGAAGTACATATTATTTGTTATCAGTGACACAATCATTTCTTAAAAATCATCGATTCATAGACACAAGTTATGGATTAATAAGTCATCTGCTGGAACCAAAAGTGATTAGCCCTTGTCATAAGAAAAGAGACAGGCAAGCTTGTACATATGTACATTCTAAAGGTCTTTAAAGCCTGAAGCTCGATTCTTAATTTTGATATTAAAATTCCTTAATTTTCAAATGGATTGTTCCAAATTTCGAAACAGGACAAATCCATTAAAGCAAATCAGCAGGTTATGGACTGATGACCTTTCACCTCACCTTATATGGCATGTGGATGCTCTGGATTTCCAGTCCCTCAGTCATGATACAGGCCATCACAGAGTTAGTCCTGTGCGTGAGCTCCTGCGCTAACGTTCGTGCCGCAGTCATTAACCTGTCAAAGGGACTCAGCCATGCATTTATAGCAGGTGTTGCTGTACTCAACAGATTCCAGTCATACCTTAAATTTCAATTATACAGCAAAATTAGTTAACAAAAATTATTCAAAAGTAAATCTTTACTTTTTATATTATTGCGATAACAATTTCTTTAAGATTTATTTAAAAATTATTAAAATTATGTATTGATGTAAACAGATTTAATTTTGCTCACTTGATTCAAATCTAGAGCTTATTTGAACCATAGAACAAGAAATTCCTGGGACTAGCCAGTACTGGTATCATATGTGAAAACATGGTTGTGCCTCTAACATACTTTCGCTTGCCATCAGGCAGTCACTTTAAGCACTTTGCCAATAAACACAGACTGTCAGAAGAACATGGTCAATTATTTTGATCCCTCATCATGAAAAATGGCATTGCAAAGTTGAAAAGCAAATTTCTAAAAGTGAATGCTTAGAAATGAGAAAACAATGAAGTAAATAAAAATCAAACTTTGAACTATTATTCAATAGAAAAAAACAATCTAGATAACAAAATGTTTTTTTTTTTTAACATAGTACTCACTATTTTTATCAACAAATTTTGACTAGATACTACCAGACTAATATGGAGCCTGTTAAGCTGACATTGTAAATGGTAAAATGACATCTTTTCAGCTTAACCCTTAACCTGCTGAAACCAATGCCGCCAGTACAGTGCCAGGCCAGCCTGCACATACATGCAGTCTGACCACTTCCAGGCTCTATAATGTTGGCAGACTAACTTCAAATTGCCACAGTGATTTACTTTAAATTGATAATGGACAGTTTCAGAAGCGGACGCCATACAAAACCTTTTAAGAAATTCAGGAGGTTAAGGGTTAACTATAGTTGAAGATCTAAGTTGTCCATCCGTGCATTATTTCAAAAGTGAGTAGAAGCAACAACCTCACGCAAGCTTGCTGGATAGCTTTATCACAGGACAGATTTTAGCCAGTCCTCCATGACCAGAATATAAGTGGCAGAATATATAAACTTACTTTGTAAAGTCTGCTTTCCTCTTAATAGGCAAAGGTGGAGGAGCCGCAAAATTAAACCAGATTGTTTTGAGATGTAGAACACCACTAGATGCATCCCCTTCTAACATAGACGTGTCTGCAAGATCTCCACTGTCCGATGGAATGGAGATTCTCGAGTCCCAGGAATGGACCGAGTTTGAACTTGTGTACATTTTGACATTACCTACTCCCAATGGGTCTAGTCCGACTTGTATAGTTCCCTTATTTGACAGGGTGGAAGTCTTTGATTGACTCACTGGACTAGAAGTTTGACCTGCTTGTTTCTGACCTTGAGTTGAATGACCTTGACCTTTTGTGGACGATCCACTTGCTTTATCTCCTTGACCTTTGCTTTTACTTTCTCTACTGGAACTTGAACCTTCAACCTCGCTTTTTGTTTTCATTTGAGTTTCATTTACAGACTCTTCTAAATCATCAGACTGGTACACAATATCTGGAGCATTTTTATCTTTGTAACCCAGTCTCCTAACAGCAGTAATAAGGATATCCTCTAAACCGCATTCAAACATAATATAACCAATACTATGCTTGTGATGAACTTTATCCCTTGATTTCTTGTATGGAACCTCTTCCGGTGCTTCTTTATTTATACTCCTCTGGCGTAGAAGCTTTGGCTTTGGGGCAGCATCAAATGGATTATCATTGGTTTCCATGACTTTGTCGTCTGCATTTCTTGGGGGATCATGACTAACATGTCTGGCCAGTGATGGTCGTCGGCTATCTTTATCCTTCTCCGTACGAGCAGAAGAACTTCTCTTCACACGACTTCCACTTCTAGCCGATACAGGCGAAAACAATTTAGTAGCATCGTTTTCAAACGTAAACATTACTTTAGATTTTTGTTCAGGTATTGCTGTTAACACAATTCCATCTGAGAAATTACTGTCTTTCAAAAGTCTTCGTAATTGAAAATGTATCGCCTTGATATCAACAGTTCCAACGTCTTCCTCTCGGAGCACCTCCGGTAGGTCTTCCTTCTCAGTTTCTGTCATATCTAACTTTCCTCTATTGGAAGCCGGTGAAGAATTTAACAGGTTAGGAAGCACGCTATTTGATGTTTTACACGAGTGACTATTAGAAAGCAACTGACATCGTACATCTTCGATGGACACGCCCATTAGAGAGACACATGTAATTTCATGAATGTTATCCAATGCAGAGAATGAGATCAATTCTTCCACCATACCAGCTTGCAGAGTGCAGATGTTAATCTGAAAGTAATTTATACTTTTTTTTATTAACAAGTTAATAAGTTTACTTTTGTAGCAAAACCAGCAATACCACCTGTGATAAAAACCATTTAAAAGACAGCTTGTCAACTACTAGTACTGACCAGAAAACTCTTACAAACAATATTGAAAATAAACAGTTTATTTTTACAGGAACAAAATGCGTGGACAAGATTAAATGTTTATAAATCAAGATATTTCCTGGAGAAAAGTGTACAAATATTCTGAAAACTATTTAATATTGATTTTAATATCATTTTATTTAGAATTATTTGAACAAAAGCAATCTTTAAGAGATTGCATAGTGACATATACTTACCCTAGGTACGTTGATTAAAGCTTGATAACTTGATGTCTTCATCTCCGGCCCTCTGTTCCGGCTTTCGGAACTAAACTGTCTCTGAGTTGGAGATAAATCGCAATCTGGTGTCTCTGCATCGGCACAAGTCTCCACCTTCTTCAATCGATTCTGACTTTTCAATCGGTCCAGACATCTAGAGTGTAGACCGTCGAGTATTGACGAGGGATGTAAGTTGGTGAGTGTAGGTGTAACTGCTTCACATAGTCTGAAATATTTCAAATGTGAATCACAGTTCGATTTGGTTGTGTTTTGTCCCTAAGCCTGCTGACTTTCTATACCAGTATTGCCCTATCTAGAATCTGCAATAATCCATTCTCAGTGCTAGGGAATTTTGCAAAAACCAAGCTACCAACAGCATAATGCCAGGTCAGACTGTACAGTTATGCAGGCTGGCTTGGCCGTATATTTATAACAAAGGCTTATTACTTTCAATTCCTTCAGGCTACAAGATGAACTAAACAGACTGTGTAAATCCCATGTCACTCAGATGCCACATTTTTCTTTTGTTTTTCTGGCTTATATTCTTTGTATTTACATAACTGTGAACCTGAACAACAAACAAGATACTATGTACAAAGTTAATACATACTTTTTTATTAAAAATTAATTTAAATTAAATATGAATTCTGAGACTCAATGTTTTAAGAGTAAAGGTTGCCTACCTTTGGAATGATTCTAGAAGTAATGGTGTAAGAAGGACATCAATAGAACCTCTTAATTTTACTGTAGCTGTTGTTCGACTAGCATTATCCATTCCAGAGCCATCTACTGTATCTATAGTGATAAATAATACTTTATTAACCTACATGCCTGTATATATGTAGAGTAATATGTCATTGTATAGAACTGTACACTAACTGTGAAGGAAATATGAAGCAATCCGGTGCTTGACCAAGAGCTGCTCCTAAAGGGCCCTTGTTCCCCCAGGCACACTGTGCATTTTCTCACTATGCGACTAAATTGAACAAATAGGTCAAGTGATTATTGCAAAGATTATGACAAATAAAAAATGTTTGTATAAGTTTTAAATTTTATGATAACATAAAACTAATGTGTTTGATGTACAGTAAAAGAAAAGATATTCAAGATGGCTTCCAAAATGGCCACATTTTTTATTAGATAATCTTATATAGTTAAAATGGCTGGTTTTCGATACACACTTTCAATTAGAAATGCCTGTTAAACAGAAGAAATTTGTTCATTTTGCCCACTGACCGACATTTGCCAATCTAATAACCTGATTTTCTATCAGGATTACAGGAAACTTTGTGAGAAAACATACCCAATAAAGGCTGCTCTATATTGTCCCAGGAATCACTGAACTCATTCGTCTCTGGTGTGAACTGTAAATCTTTCTCCTTCATTATACGAGTACTGAAACCTTGCTTAATCTGAAAAGGAGAGATGACAAAAAATTATCAAATACATGTATACCATTGACATTCTCTCTGCTGGAACAAACAAGGGCAAATCTAAATGGCTCCACCACCCCCACCCCAAATAGTGAGGGCATAAAAATGATTAGCCACCGTCACCAGTGTAAAGCAAAACTATACGACAAAACCAGTCTGCATATCTCTACCATCATACAAGGCTCACTTACTTAAAAATTTTCATCCTGATATCACTAAACTTAATAATGGACAGTTCTAAATTTTTTGTAGCCAGAAAGTCTATTTAAGAAAATCAACAGTTCAATATGCCGAATATGTGTAACAAACTTATCCTTCTTTGATGCTTGGAGAAGTTCATTATTAGTTTGACAGATTTCACAGTATATACCTTAAAAGTAAATTTTTTTCTCCCAGAAGTACGTAGGATGAGTTTTTTGTTTTTGTTTTTCTTTTTAGTTTTTTATTTTTTGTGAAGAAGAAAATAATATTTTGGTGTTTTATAAAACTGGTAGAGAGGGTAGGGAACAGGGGTATTGTGATTCACATTTCAAACATCAGAGATTAAAACTGTTGATGAAATTCATGAAATATTATATAAACTCGAAACATTTATTCTATTTGGACAGTATCTTAAATCTGATATGAAATTTCAACAATGCACATACGGGTTATTTCAATCTTAAGAGGTATTAATCTTTGTGCGTGTTCATTTGTGTGTGTCGGTCAAACTCATGACCTCCTTAATTTGAAGTCAGTGCATGTTCCTTGACAAGACCACTGCAGCAGCTCTTTTCTTAATCTTAATCTGACTGGTCCACAGCAATACCATTAAACCTTTGAAAATAAAACACCTACCTTAACAAAATGTGGTAACCGTATCTGTGACTGTCCCAGTTGAACATTTTGACTGACAGATGACAACGAGAACTGTGATTGCTCTGACTGTACACTGTGATATCGTCCTGGAAACGGAGCCTGAGATACCCAGTTGTTACACTGTAATCTTGTCATGTGATTGGAGTAACATGGCAATAACACTGGCGATTTTGTTATGTCATTTTTTACCTGCAAAGATATTATATTGACTTTGGCAATAACACTGGCGATTTTGTTATGTCATTTTTTACCTGCACAGATATTATATTGACTTTGGCAATAACACTGGCTATTTTGTAATGTCATTTTTTACCTGCAAAGATATTATATTGACTTTGGCAATAACACTGGCGATTTTGTAATGTCATTTTTTACCTGCAAAGATATTATTTGAACTTTGGCAATAACACTGGCGATTTTGTTATGTCATTTTTTACCTGCAAAGATATTATATTGACTTTGGCAATAACACTGGCGATTTTGTTATGTCATTTTTTACCTGCAAAAATATTATATTGGCTCTGTCATTGAACAGTATAACCAAGCAGATATGCAGAAAACTAAAATCTACTATTTTCAATCAAGTGAGATTTTCTTATATAATCTATGAGAAGTAATTATTATTATACAATATCCTAGGCTTGCTCTAAGAAGTGCAATATACAATTATACATGATTTTTATTTTGACAAAAATTAAAGGGGTCTTATAATACACTTACTTGACTGTGAAGGTCTACCATTGAGAATTCTTCAGGTACGCCACCAGACATAGTCTCATCTGGATCTGTATCGGCAGACATGTATGACAGTGTCGAGTTTGTAGATGACAAGCTATCTGGCCGTTCAATAACCGTCGTATCTACCTGTGACGCAATACTTTTATTCATGACAAGTTTCGGGGATGTTTCCTCTTGAGTCCATGTGACGCTCTCCCCGTCAAATACAGGTTGTTTCAAAGTGTTAAAGTTTGGATCTGATGATGACAAGGCTTCTTCTTCAGCAGAGAAATACATTTCACTATCCAACGAGACAATGGACCTTTGCCTTGTTGGGTCATATCTCGAACTTTGTCGTAACCGTAGGGATGTCGGACTTGTACTGTGTATGGAAGAATGTCCGGAAGGGCTTTGAATGGAAGACCTTGACGAGGGACTGTGAGCCACAGATGATCTCAATGTTGGACTGAATGGGGGTGGTGAAGAAGAAGAACTTTGGGAAATACTACGTGCTGACTTGCTAATCAAATCATCTTGAATGCTTCTTTCACCTCTCAATACTGACGAGTCAGTGGATTTTAGAGTATCGAATGGATTAATACTGATATTATCACCGGCAGTTTCACCAGTAAAACTCGATGTTGACTGTGTCTCAACTGTGGCACTCCGAGAAAGCTGATGAGGGGATGGACTTACAGGAATGTCTGCCATGTTACCTGGTTTTAAAGTGTTTTTGTTTGGAGTGTATTCTTCTATCACAGTAATGCTTGTACCGGGAGTGTCAGGTGTCGTTAAATTACTCATATAACCTCTAGTAAAAGTAAATTCCTTGTTTGGAGTCCCCCATCCTGTAGTACTTCCAATTTCGAAAATTAATTTGTTTTTGTGCAATAAACTTTGTCCAAATCCCGGGTCATTACCTTCAGGGGTCACTTTACACACAGCATTTGGAGTGACTTCATGATGTTTTTTCGGTTGGAAAAATCCCACCCCATTTTTATTCTTACCAAAGAATGAACAGCCTCCTATGCAGCCACACTTTCCTATGACAACACTTGGCACTTTGATGGTAGCCTCTGGCCATAAGTACCATAATCTCATACTGGCAGAATCATGAGTCAACAAAAATTCATTTTGAAGAGTATGAAAATCCTGATTGGGTAATGCCATTGCTGCCTCTGCTTTGATTGGTCCAAGTGAAATACCACCTGACTCAATCCAGATCTCTGGTTGGCTGGTATCATGCCTGATGGGTGCGGTAGATATATACTGCTTCAGTGAGATATGTTCAATTAAACCAGTTATACCTGCTCTTGTATTTTCACCATGAAGATTGCAGGTTGCTAACCTTACTGGGAATACCTGAAAATAGTGAAATAAATGATACCTTTGAAAAGAGTGAAAAGAAATTGTCACTGAACCAGATTTTCTGCCAAATTTCATAAGTCTTCTGTCTTAATTACCAATTCCTCCTCAAGTGACAGACTACTAATCCAAAATGATTTTTCTAAATCAGCGAAGAGAGGCAAATGACCAATATATTTAATATTCATGATTGACTGTCACAGAGAGATTCTGTTCCCCTGAAAACTAATCGTATGCTCTCACTAATGAGCCAAGCAAGAAGACCAATGAATGAAGGAAACATGGCTCAAATTTCAAAATATAAACATAATTAGACCATTTTCCTTGGGTACATAATACAATATATCATAACATTATGATTATAACCATGTGTATGCCATTGTGTATGCCATTTCTAATAAAAACAAACCTGAACATTAAGGGCAGACCCAGCTTCAACAAGATACACGTTAAGAGAGTCTATGGATGCTCTTGTCATTCTATATTTGATATCTTCTGACGACGGGCATGGAATATGGTACCCGGCTGCAAGCTTCTTACACCGGTGTTGGGGAACCATGTGTTGACACAGCTGATAGGACACTGCACGTTGTAGACTATTCTCTGAGTCTTCAACTAGCATGATAAACGTCTGCACAAACTCTACAATATTCTGTATCTGTCAACAGAAAAAAGTTATATCAAATTCAAAATGTGAATACCCTAGAATGGGGGAGCCAGGGTCTAGCAGTTAAGGTGTCTTCAACTCAACCAAGTCATTGTGGGCTTGAGCCCCTTATTTCAAACAAAGGCCTTCCAAAGAAGAGACAAGTAGTAGTCTTTATAAACAAGTGGTCTTTATTTGGAGGTCACTATATATTTTATTTCATCAATGAAGGGTTATCAAAAAGTAGTCTTTATGTGCAGGGTTATCTTTATTAAGAGGCTGTCTTTATCACAGGTTTGATTGCAATATTTCAAATTTTGGTATTTCTGATCTCAAAATCCCAGTAACTGGATTGTTTCAAATTTTAAGCATTTTTGGTCCATTACACAGTTTACAGGTTTAAGTTATTGTGTAGAACTTACCTGTGGTGAGGTCAACCTTCCAGAGAGGTCACCAATCACAGCTTCCACTAACCATGCATACTCTAATGTCTCACTATCTAGTGGCAAGTCTTTGTGCGAGAACATGGCATGACCTCTGACCTGTAACCCGGACAATGCCAAATGACCTTCTTTCAGATGGTTTTGGTCTTGTTCTCTCTGTAAACAAAAATCCTTACCTAAATTTGTTGTATGTGTATATTCAGAATATACATAGCCTTAAAGATATAAACTACCAGTAATTGTTTCATGTACAGCCAGATACAGGTGCATATCTTGTCTCATCCACATACAGTACCATTTATATCAAAGAATTTCTTGCAAGATATGGTCTAAAGATAATTACATTGTATTGCTAGAAGCTAAACAAACCCTGTCAATTTATCTATTGATTCAGCATTAAAAAATGAAAATTTTAATAAGATCTACTTCTTTTTGAAGAGATGATTTTGTCAAAATGTGTGAGAAAAAATACATTTTTATAGACAAGAATGGAGCCTGATGTCGTTTTAAAAGCCACAGAAAACATTTAAACAGTAGTGCGTCAAGGTGATTGGATTTCATAAGATGACTTGAATATTAACATATTGTCACCTAATGCAGAAACGTGTTAACTGCTATTAAGGAGTTAACCCATTACAATGTTAACTTACCTCAAAACTATCTCTGGCTATAAGTATAGCTGGTGAGATGAGAACTTGTAACTTGGTCTCATGGTACCTCTTGTCTAGCTCAAACCCCACCCTCTCAATGTACACACTAGGACATGGCACATTCTCTAAATTACAATTCTGAAAGTCAAAAAAATAATTAAAGTAACTTTCAGTTTTAGCTAATAAATAAGATATCCCGGAAAGCCATTTTTAATCAAAGAACACTCCAACATGTTGTACAAAACTTTTGAGGGGGACAACCAGTCCAACATGTTGAATAAAACTTTTGAGGAGAACAACCACTCCAACATGTTGTATAAAACTTTTGAGGAGAACAACCAGTCCAACATGTTGTTCAAAACTTTTGAGAGGAACAACCAGTCCAACATGTTGTTCAAAACTTTTGTGAGGAACAACCACTCCAACATGTTGAATAAAACTTTTGAGGAGAACAACCACTCCAAACATGTTGTTCAAAACTTTTGAGGGGGACAACCAGTCCAACATGTTGTATAAAACTTTTGAGGAGAACAACCACTCCAACATGTTGTATAAAACTTTTGAGGAGAACAACCAGTCCAACATGTTGTTCAAAACTTTTGAGAGGAACAACCAGTCCAACATGTTGTTCAAAACTTTTGTGAGGAACAACCACTCCAACATGTTGAATAAAACTTTTGAGGAGAACAACCACTCCAACATGTTGTTCAAAACTTTTGTGAGGAACAACCACTCCAACATGTTGTATAAAACTTTTGTGAGGAACAACCACTCCAACATGTTGTACAAAACTTTTGTGAGGAACAACCACTCCAACATGTTGTTCAAAACTTTTGTGAGGAACAACCACTCCAACATGTTGTATAAAACTTTTGTGAGGAACAACCACTCCAACATGTTGTACAAAACTTTTGTGAGGAACAACCACTCCAACATGTTGTTCAAAACTTTTGTGAGGAACAACCACTCCAACATGTTGTATAAACTTTTGTGAGGAACAACCACTCCAACATGTTGTACAAAACTTTTGTGAGGAACAACCACTCCAACATGTTGTTCAAAACTTTTGTGAGGAACAACCACTCCAACATGTTGAATAAAACTTTTGAGGAGTACAACCAGTCCAACATGTTGAATAAAACTTTTGAGGAGAACAACCAGTCCAACATGTTGTTCAAAACTTTTGTGAGGAACAACCACTCCAACATGTTGTATAAAACTTTTGAGGAGGACAACCAGTCCAGATGCTAGGTATTCTAATCCCATCATTATATCTAGGAAATTGAATCAATCAAAAATTGTTGTATGTAATTAGGCTTGAAATATCATTGCTAAATGCTAGGAAATATTCAAAATATGGTTGGTACTGGTCCTGTCCAAATATTAACTGGAAAACTCCATGCAATCTTACCTTGATTAGATGACCTTGAATATCATGCAATGTAACAGACACTGTCACTGAAAATGGCCTGTACTTCCTTGGGTCGAACTCTTCCACGACCACTTCCTTCTCAGTCAATGGCCCCTCAACCCCTTCAGGTTCCTTGGACTCCATCCCTGTGTCTGGGGAGTCATAGAAATCCGTGTAGGTCTGATCCTCTCCAAGGTAGTTTTCCTGGAAATATTTGTAAAATCAATTAATTTCAAGTTCAGATGAGGTTAATTCAGGTCAATATCTTTATTGCTACATTTTTATTTTAATAAAAATCAAATGTCAAACAAGACACCTGCATACAACATCTAATCTCAGATGCTGCAGTGGCATAAAAGCATACAAATTTTATATAACATGTAAAGCTTGGCTTCATATGGATAGATTTCAATTGAAATTAAAATATGATGAACAAGATCAACAAGTAATGGCGGTGTTCAATGAACGCAACCCCCACACGGCCCAGCAACAAGAACCAGTGGCAAGGAGCCAAGGAACAAAAAAAGGAGAGGGCATGATAAGTCCATGACACAAATTCAACTGGATAAGGTACAACAGTGACCATCTCATAATTATTTTTCATGCAATTCTGTTATTACTTCATTGACTCCATAGATTTTACAGATAGAATTGTTGATAAACTATTCCTTTCATCACTGAAGGTTTAAACATGAAACTGTAATACAAGTAACAAGATCTTACACATCAATGCTAAACCACAAAACCATAGAAACTTTTAATTTCAAAGGTGAAAAAACTCAGCAATGTTCAATAAGAATAACATGAAGATACCTTAACATGTAAGAAATTTCTGAGCAGGGAACCGTAGGCACAGAGTACAGAGGGAGCCACCTCAAGCTCTACACTGATCAGGTCCGAGTCCATCGTCCCTGCATCAAAATTCTCCGGAACCTTTAACGACTCCGATCTCATGTAACTCAAGGGAATGAACTCTTCCATGGCTGGACTTTCCGGGATGCCCGTCAGGTCTTCCATGGATGGTTGAATAATATGATGAGAGTCTGTCTTCAGCAGTGGCGGCATCGGGTGATACTTGTATGTAATACTGAGAGCAACATTCGACGTCATCCAACAATCTATCCATCCAGCACTAGGATATTGAAGCAAATTTTAAATAAAATATATCATTTAATGGTAACAATAATATACTGGGTTTTATCAGACAAGTCAGAGAAATGAATTACATGCCAATCACAGCATATTATTGACTGAGAGTATGTGAGCGATATAGTTTTGCCATCTTTATTGTAAGCATGCATATTACTTTTTTATGATTAAATAAGAATATGCACTCATGTAAATATTGTGCAAATTACAAAAACAAAAGTAAAACAGTTGAAGTCACAAATGGGAATTTATTGTAATGTACTGACTGTTTTGAATGCAACAGAAAATGGATAACAAAACCGACAGGATTACATATTGGCATATAATTTCACTCAAATTGAGTGTATCCTTTGACAACCGACAAATTTATCAATGTATGTGCGAATATGACCAGCAATGGACAACAATATATTGCTACGAAAAAGGTTTTAAAAAGAACAATAAAAAAGTCTGCACACAGTTCTATTTTTTCAAAACTTTAAATTTAAGGAGATCAGGAAATTAATTGTACCTTCGTTCTGTCAATCTTCTCCATTGTTTCTTTATATCATAGCAGAAAGGATTTTCTTGTATATTACCGTCCCTATCCACTATCTTCATGTTCTCAGACAAGGCAATAATCACATGACGACTTGTATTGTTTTCTGGTAAATATATTCGACAAAACACCGTCTCAACCTGAAAAACATATTCAGATATTATTCAAAATTCAAAAACTCAAACAAGTTTGTTTTACTTATATGTTTTTTTTCTAATTTCTATTTATACATATTCTTGGTCTTATCCAGGCAACTGATCCATCTCATCAGATTTTGTGTGTACTTAACAGTAATAATTTGTTTGTTTTGCTTAGTTTTAGTGCACCAACTCAATTTAGGTCATAAGGTGCCGAAAAAGTAAAGATGATTTTTGAATAACCTCGGGTGTTACAAAATTAAAGCAACATCAGGGGTCAAAACCATCACACCTGCTGGAGCTAAGTGATACATATACTCAAGTTATTTATACCCATTTAGTCATCTCTTATAATCAGGCAGGGATAAACAGTAGGTGCTGTTCTGATGCCTCAACCTTTAAAGGCAACCCCTTAGACACAAGGGGTTATTAAATCAGTAATAACCAACCACAAGTAACAGGCTACTAATTCCACATATATATTTTCTGAATGAGCATGAAGAGACAAATGGCCACTGGACTCCAAGTCCAAAACCAATTGTCACTGAGTAACCTTTTTATTGCCAAAAGATCAAACCTGTGATGACTAGTTTGAACAGAAATATAAATTTTATATACTCATATTCATTATTATATGAAACTTGGTGACCATATTCATAATAATATGAAATTTGGTGACTGATGTCCAAAGGGGCAACTCTTCACTTCTTTCATTAAAGCAAAGATTTATGCAAAATTTCATGAATTTTTTTAACTTGTACTAAAAAAAGAATGATATTGTCTAATGAACAAAGAAAGCAATCTATACATTACAAACAGCACTAAAATATACAAAAATTAACAAAAAAAAGTAAGAATATGAAAAACAGCCCCTACTGTGTTAGTAATACAATAAAAATATAGTGATAATACAGCAATATCAGTCATTCATTACATATAACATGTGAGTTATTTCTTGAATTGTGAATATTTTTACTTTTCTTAATATCAGTTGAGTTTCTGGAAATATCTGGCACACCTTTAAGCAAGCAGCTTGAACTCAAAGACAAATGGACACAGTAGAATATAAAGTATCCAACATTTTACTAAAAGGAAAACACTCAATTAAATACAAAAACCTTTACCATACCTTAAAGATAAATCCAATGGAGTTAGTCAAAGGTAAGAAGTCTATGTATGGTAGCTGCAGAGATAGGTCAAACATCTCTCCACAAAATGCTATATGGGCTGAAATAGCAAGTGTGACACTTCATTGTCATATTAATATGCAGTGAAAGACATAAATATATACAATACTATAATAGTGAACTTGTTCCTATACAGTGAAATGCTCACAATATCTTAATCGTTTATATGTTCCTACACAGTGATAGACATGGGATTTTGCAATACTGTATTTGTTCCTATACAGTGAAAGTCTTACAATATCTTAATCGTGTACATGTTCCTACACTGTGATAGATATGCAATTTTGCAATACTGTATTTGTTCCTATACAGTGAATGTCTTACAATATCTAAATAGTTTACATGTTCTTATTCTGTAATAAGCATGCAATATTGTACTAATGTACCTGTTTTCCTATTTTATATTCTAATACTGTACATGTCCTACACCAGAATGAAATACTTAATAATGTACATGTTCCTACACAGTGACCAAAATGAAAAACTTTATACTGTACATGTTGCAACACAACAAGAGAGATATTATATCACAGTACTGAAGATGTTACTAAACAGTGACAGACATGTACTATTTTGATAATATCCATGATCCTACAAAGTGATAAATATGGTTTACTCTAACATTATTCATGTTCCTATATAGTGATGATCCAACAGTGTACATGGACATGTTCCCACAAATTGAAAATTTCAAAAATCCAATAGCATATATATACATATATGTACATCTTCCTACACTGATAATTACAATACATACCATTTTCTGGATTATGAGATGAAGTATCTATCCAGTTGTATTCATTACACAGGGTGACTAGTTCAAACTGGTTGATAAGAATATTTATATTGTAAGTATATGGCACAAAATGGAACACATCTGGAACACTCTTTGTTGACCAGTCATCAATCAGATCTGTAAGAGAAAAAATGTATCATACAATACAGTAAAACCATTGCATATTTAGACCCATTGGGAGATAAAGGTTTTGGTTGTTGCTACTAAAGAGGTTAAATTTATTTAAAGTTATATTAAAATCCCTCCATGTATAAAGAAGTTATACTAGCAAATGAATGGCTCATTTTGTTATTTGACCTTTGACCCTAAGTGTGACTTTGACCTTTACCACAGACACCTGAATTTTTCATGTGACATTTCGCCTACTATGGAGAAAATTTGTTCAGAGATATATTAACATCCCTCCATGCATGTGGAATTTACGCTCCGGACACAGGTTTTGCACTGACCCCGAAGAGTGCCCTTGACCTTTGAGCGGTGGACCTAGGTTTTGTGTGCAACACACCACCCAATCTTCATAGTGAACATTTGTACCAAATTAATATTGTAATCCTTCAAAGAATAACTAAGATATAGACCGGACAAATCCAAACATGCACATATACTGAACGTTACGCTAAAAAAGGCAATTAACAAGAGGGCTCAACAAAAAATCATAATTTGGAGACAGTCTTTGACCTAGCTCTTATTGGTTCATATAAAAGAAGACACATAAATGTGAAAGAAATGAGTCCATTTTAAAATCTTACCACTAATGAAAAGTTTGTGTGCAAATATTAGGTAGACTGTGGCTTTACATGCTGTGAAGGAGCATGTCCAGTTCTGATGGTCATTCCAGTCCAATGGGTAATCTACCGACACATTAAACTGAAATTGAGATACAAATTGTTTAAATGATTTGTTTTATATATTTTCTATCAAACTGATTTAAACAAATGTTTTTAGTTATATCGCAGTGATCGAATTATCTAACTGGCTCTCCTGGATAACTAGCACCTGACTGACTACTATTTTAATATGGTTTGCAGTATTCCCTTATGAACATACAAGGACAGAAAATGTGTGTAAATAAGGACCGAAAGTGTGAGACAATATGCTATAAAATCACTTTTGACAATCTATTTTTAGACATGTGGCAGGGCTGCAGATAACATGCATATTTGCTTATTACCCAATTAAAATGTCTAAAAACCCAATAGAAATAATAACTAAGGGTAAGAAAAAGTAAATGAAATCTTATTTATGCAAACTACATTTGAACTGGTGCGTAATGACGTAAATTATTACTTAACGCGTACATCAGGCAGATCATACTGTTTCAGACTGTTTTAACCTTTAAATTATATTAGGCAGCTTGGAAATCTCCTAGGCCAATAAACCATAAAGCAAAGTAGTAAGTAGCTTTTTTATAACCATACATAACCTACAACAGTCTACAATGAAGGTCAGAAATTTTGGGTAAAATACATGAACTCGTGCTTTATAACCCAAATTGGTTAGAGGGGGTAGGGTAAAAAATACAGAAATAACTCAAAGAAAATAGAAAAAACCCAATAGATCACAAAATAAGGGGAAATTACCCAATATACACAAAATGCTAGCTGTAGCCCTGCATGTGGCCTAACCATAAAATGTGCAATGCGCCGAAACAAATCAGGCACAATTTAGCTTGATATCAGGTACAGCAGCATTTTTTTGTTGATATCATGTTGGAATCGATATAATATATTCAAAGCAGGTATTTTATCGCTTGATAAAAACACTGTTAGTCGTTTTGGATGTGCATATAATTTCTCGCATTCAAACTCCAGATTTTATTAAGCTGATAGTATGTTATTTCTTAAATTTCTCACGCCCGACGCACATGATTTCTATATCAGAGACAATGATAATCATTAGACTGGATGTCGGATATTGACTGTCACAGGGAAATTAAACCTCGTAAAAGGATAAATCTGTGACCCCTGAATTAATAATCCTATGCTCTCCCTATTGAGCTTAGCAGGCAGACTTACCGAAGTATGAACTAAGAAATAAATTATCTAATATTCAACTGAGATAAAAATTAGTTAAACATTTAATTAAGATCCATATTATGAAAAACATTAAATACATATTTAAATAACTAGTATTTAATTAAGATATAAGTTACAGAAACCTTTAAATAAGATATAGACTACAGAAACATTTAACTGAGATATAAATTAGAAAAATATCAAATTGAAATATAAATCACTGAAACATTAAATTGTGATATAAATTATCTAAAACTTCTATTCAACACTCAAGTCCTTTGCTATAATTTCATGCTCGAATTATTCCATGAAACTTTGCCATGCTTTGTTGATATGTTAAATCTAAATATGACCATGGTTTGGTTTTAAATAATGTTTACAATGTTTAGGTCATATGTAGACTTTCCAGTGTTACTCGTGAAGAAGACCTCAGGTGCCATTCTGTGCATTATTTCAGGTACGAACAACCTTCTAGCATTTGTTTGCTAGTTAAATAGCTCTCTCACATGATAAAAAAAACTAGAGTCCCTCTCTGAATTCAAATCTACAGCATTGAACAGCTTCACGTAAAAAACTTTGACACTAAGGCTCAGTTCAAAATATAAAAATTTCACACCAATACCAGCACTAGATACTGTGCAGCTATTGTGACCCCTGCATATATAACCAGCACACAATACTCACATCTAGGGTTTCACACTCCAGCAGAGATCTATATTTCATACTGGTTGTTGCTTCCAGTAAGAGAAGCTGCCCTCTAACAACAGAGGTGTACCCAGTCTCTTCTGTGACCCACGGTATTGTTGCCTCAATGTATGACCCCTGACCCATGTTCATATGCACCGCTTGTGTTTCCTGTAAAGCAAAAAAAACATAATTACTACCTGTTAACCTATTGTATTAAACAATAACCATAAGTGATTAGCCTTAGCTGACAGTGCTGAACCAGGCCCGTATGCTCATCCGTGCTTTCTACTTTCTGACCAAGATCTATACTGTTGGCCAATAACTTTCATCTGATATACCCAATATTGATAATGGTCAGTTCCCAAAATGAAAGTTGGACAAGTCCATTTTAGAAATTCAGCAGGTTAAGGGCAAGGTACCTCACATGTATACTACTGTAAACTAGCTTTATATTATCATCATGTGAACATTGAGATATCAGAATCAGGAAACAAATCCACAGAACTAAGGGCCAAGTTGTTGGAAGTCAGGCTCCTAAATCACTTGGCTTAGTCCTTAAGTTATAAAACTAGAGCTAAAAAAATGCCCACTTCTTTTCGAAAAACAAAAAAAATAATGAAATATACTGGTACTGCAGTACTATGGTACATATTAATACAGTTAAAAAATAACACAAAACTATGTGATGATTTGTAATTAACACACAGGCTTTTCTTCCTTTCTTTAAGGTATGATACTTCAACAAAACTTCATAAAAAGAACATCACTCTGTCTATATCAGAAAATTAATTAATCTCACAAAAATAAAATCTTTCAAATACACAGTACTTACAGAATTTTTTGTGAAAAGAACATCATTGGTTGCTTCGGCTACAATATTCATTCTAAATTCAAAAGTCTTAAACTGTCGTCTTTCTCCCGGTTCTGCGATTTTGGTTGGTTCCATCGCCTGGTGGTCAGAGGGATAGAAAAACTTCCATAAATATTCTCTGAAAAGGTAAAATATTTGATGACATTTTTGTGAGTTTGAGCAAGAAAATTAATACATTGTATTAACCCTACTCATTAAAAACACCTGTCTTGTAAAATGAAACAATGGATTTTATAGACAAGTGGTCACTGAAAACAGGTATGCTTGCACTCTAAGTTTATTATAGAAACATGTATCTATATGTGGTCTTTGTCAATAAATAACAGTTATGTTTAAGAAAATGGAACTAGATTAAAAAACAGTTTTTTTGGCTTTCTTATTATTTTTTGTAACAATTATTTGTCTTTCATACAGGCAAAATTAAACTTTTTTTCTTATCTAAAAATTAATAGCTGAAATGTACAAACAGATCATCTATAAATATGCAGTCTCTATTTTATTTAAAGGTGAACATTCAGGACAGGTATAACTGTATGGTAAAAGTAGTTAAGATCTGACCGGCATCGCTAAAACACTGAGGTAAATATTTAAGTTTGGTGACATAATTTACAAACATTCAAAAGAGCTTGTTCGAAATTAACCTACACAAATGCTACGTTCCAATCACTCACATGCCCCAATCACATCATTATATAAAAATATCCAAATGTAAGTCTTCTATTTCATACATACCTTTGCCTGTCTGCCCAAGGTCCATAGTTGAAGTCTGTATTTTTGCCACACTCTATATCTAGGGCAATTGTTGGATAAGTTCTACAGACCTGAGTTTCTCCGTCGGCCAACTCCACCCTTTCTGGCTCGTACGGAACTAAACCTGTTGTAAGAAAGTCCCAATAATACAAATGGCATTGTGTAGGTCTGTATGTTACATTAGACCTAGCTAAATATTTGCTCATGTACACACTCAATCAAACAAAGTCTGCAGTTTTCATGTAATTTTGCTGATATTAATGCTTCCGAAGGATCATTTTTTTTCCTGATACTGCCTTGCTCTGTATTTCAGAACTGTACATTGCTATTTGACGAGTAATTTTTCATTGTTAGATAAAGGGATTTAAATATAAATGTTGAATATTGAACATGTATGCCCCTACATACCACTGTTTTGTCAGTGTACACACAGACTGTGTGATGGACCGACAAGAGCATATCTATATGACCTCTTAAGTGGGGACAAAAAATCTACAATAAAACAGAAAAACTCTGATTTTAAGTCATATTATGTCAAAAACATTAAGTTTGGTTAAAAAAAAAGTAGTTAAAATTAATAGTGTGCAAGGGGGGCCAGGTGTGGATGGAACAGGTAGACTATCTTACCTTAATAACTGAATTTTAATGGTGCAAAATATATCAAATATTTTACGTATTTTTTATCAACAGAGTATTATTGACAATATTTTCATACTCATGCTACCAAAATACAGAAGAGATGGAAAAAACAACATATGCATAAAGTGCAAACTGTATGCCATGATAAAAGAGCTATCATTTTACATGTGTTATTGTTTAAAGCAATAATTCATATTGAATATAATAATCTTATACCTGGTTCATCCATGTAGTAGTGAAGCTTGACTTCTGTTGACTGCATCAGCACAAAACCTTCGCCCATCATTCTAGGTGGTCTGAAAACATCAGAGGTAGTCAAAGTTAAATGACATCAAAAAGAACAAGTCATGATATAGTCAGCCTAAAGTTTAGAGCCTAGTTAGACTATGAAGATGTACAGGCTGGCCTAGTCCTATACTGGCACCAAAAGCTAATTGCTTTTGGTTCCAGCAGGGAAATGTCTCAAAAGGTTAACAATAAGAAGACAATAGTAGTACATTCTGTTCTGGTACTCGCGAGCCCCTTTATAACTGTTATGTTGGGGTCCATGATCTCAAGACCACATTGTAACGAGTAACCATTTATAATGCTGATTGTGTAATTACCTCAAAATTATCACATTGCCCCCCCCCACCGCCGAAACTTATAACGCTTATTAGCAGTAATGATTGTTTACTTACCAATCAGTAGATTGTATTTCCATACAGAAATCATCAATTTTTATAGAACACCACACCATACAGGCTTATCAGTAACCAAAACAATGGTGTACATTTAATTAAAGCATGGTTATACTCAATGTCTGTACTCTATTTCACAAACAACAAAAAATGTATGGTTAAAAGAAAAAAAGTTCTATTGTCATGGTAAAACTCATTTCCAGCTATTCCAGCCAGGAAAAATTAAAAAAAAAAAAAAAAAAAAAAAAAAAAAAAAAAAAAATGTGTTTCTCAATTCTTAGCCGAATTTGGATCATTTTACAAAGAATAATTATTCTGGAAAAACAGAGTTAGGGAATGATCTGAAATTTTGCACATACATTATTGGACTACATCTACATCAAATGGAGCATTTATCTTGAAAATGTATAAATTTTCAGTCCTGTCATGTAAAAAAAATTCAGTGGAGTCCCCTTTAACCTGCCAAGTTTCTTATATGGACCTAAACAGTTCCCATTTTTGCAAGTGTCCATTATAAATTTAAAGGATATCAAGAAGACCAAGTCATGATATAGTCAGCCTAGTTAGACTATGGGGATGTACAGGCTAGCCTTGCTCTATACTGGCAGCAAAGGCTAATTTCTTTTGGTTCCAGCAGGCAAAAACAAGTAAGTAATTTTTTATATAAAAACAACAGATATTAGGCCGAAACAGAAGTAACATAAATTACAGTCAAACTTGTATTAAGTGACCGCGCAAGGGAAACACCCAAAACGGTCCCTTAATGAAACGGTCTCTTAAGACAAAGCATGATAAAAAGTCAAAATTTATACATGACATCTTTCTTTTGCTGTGGGAATGTTTTTCAACTTCATTTATATAAATGTTTAATAATTAGAACGCTCCGATAATCTAAATGGATGTTAATGTAAAAAGAAACACATAGTTATCTCCAAACTAAGCTGACTAATTAAAACGGATCCATTGTCTGTACGTTATTCAAAAACTGTAATGCATTAAAGAATAGAGAAAAATGTCATGGGAAAATTGCTAATGTCAGCCGTTAAGAAAAAATCTCAGTTTTAACACGTGGGGCCCTGAGCTAATTTAACAACGTATTGGAATTCATTTACAGTTGCTGAATTTTATTGTCATATTTCATTATCATTATTTTACATCATATTTTTGTAACGATGCCAATAAATAATTCAACTTACTCGTCCTCAACCTTGCCAGAGAAAAACTGTGAGTTCATCTGGTATTTATCACTAGGTACAAACATGATTCTTATGCTGTCAGATTTGATCTTGAGGTCGTGCATGAAAAGGTCAAAGGGCGTCGAAGGTGACGTTGTTGTATATGTCACATGACTATCGTCTAGGTGAACTATCAAGGTGTTAGGGATCAAGTTGTTTCCAAAAACAAAGCGACACTGGCAAAACATAAAAAGAACACTTACTGTGTTTATATGTTACAGTTACATTTCTCTACAATTTCTAAATAAATAAGATTTGTTACTGAGCTCGACTTGTTTTGTTTTTAGCCTATGTCATTAGATTCAATTTTGTCTCTCAAACTAAAAAGCAATCGCCAATGTTCTATTCATATCAATTTTACTATCTCTTCAATCTTACTCTTCCTCACCTTATAAAGTTACCTCCGGTGATATAGGGCATTCCCGTTCAATGTTACACACAACGGATAAGTAAGAATTCTTATCTTACATTATCTATTTTGTCCACAGACAAACAAAGGACAGACAAAAGACTTCTAGTATTATGTCTCATGAATTTTGTTAAGTGGTTATTCAAAATACATTCAGTAACTTATGACAAATTATTGAGTAAAAGATAACTTAAATTAAGGGTGTGATGAAGGATATTGGTTCAAATCCTGCAAAGGACTCCGGATTCTTTCATATGAGGAAGCTATCCAGCTAGTTAACGGAACAACAGAAGTTCCTCTCAAATGTCCTTTTGTGCCTGAATTAATGCAGGTCTTCCTCCACAAGTAAAACTGGACAGTCGCCATATGACTTTAATAGTGTGATGTAAAACTCAACCAGAAAAAAAATACCATGAAAAATCCCTTATAAAGGAAAAGCTTCTGTTTCATTTTCAAAATGATGAAAGCTGTATATGTTGATAATAACACTTCTGTTCAAACAAATTTGAAAGGTGAATAGCTATACATGTAAAGTTCTTTCTCAAACAATAGAAAATAAAGATGTTTGTACATTTACAAGTTAACAGTGCTTGAAACAGTAAAAAATATATCATAAATATATCAAATATAACATTACAATGGTTCTGAACCATGTTACATATCAACTGATAATGGGATACACAGGTTAACAGGTATAATATTGCAACAATAACTAAAATGTATACGAAACAGTCAGGCACACTTACTGTAGTTATATCAACTTTACAAACAGGAATCAAATCTCGCCAGTGGTAATTATTCTTACTAATAGTAACTCTGAAATATAACATACAAATGTTTAAAATGAATTAAAGTCAAGAATTTGTACTTCCTACTCATGCCAATGTACATAAGTTAACATTTTGTCTTCTCTGAAAAAAGACTTCTTTAAAATGAAGTAATATTAACTAATAATGATTTTACCAAAATAATTTTTCATGCACACACTTAAAAACCAATCAATATAGGCGGTGCTTCTTTTCATTCAAACATATTTATTCATTTTCAAGAAAAGAGATTATATTTATAATTCAGCTATTGAAACATTTCCTGAATGCAGTCCCCACGTGACAGGGCTTTCATTAAGTTTCACAAATTACTAGTCAGAGACTGAAAATGCCTGACAATGAAAGTCACATTGTAAAGGTAAAGAAGAAGATGCATTATATTTTGGAAGTCACCAGATAAAATCAGGAGTAAATGACCCCTAAACTTCCACTAATGGAAGCGCTGCTTAAAATACTGACAGTGAACTTGTTTATCAAACGCTGATTTTTAACCTGTTTTTCTTCCCATTGTCCGTTGATTCTTGTTTATCCTCGGGGGTTTCTACGTTTTTATTGTCTTCTTCATCCTCCTCTTCTTCTTCATCATTATTTATTTCCGTTGAAAGCCCGAATAACTTTTCTAGACGTAGGTATGTTGCTGAACGGTTGTTATACATGCACTTCAAAGTTTTCGATAAACGAAAACAGCCGTGTTTCTGCGTGTGACATATCTGAAACAGGTTTCGAGTAATGTTGTTGTATATGGTCACTTTAAACAAAAAAAACAGAACACCAGAAAAGCTTCAGAATACTTGAATATAGATACAGATACATATCTTGCATAATAAAAACAAATAAACCACTTTTAGTTTAGTTTTTTATACCACTTTATTCATACAGGTATGTTTATCATATCAACACTTAAACAAGAGGGCCATGATGGCCCTGAGGTCGCTCACCTGTAATATAGGCCCCCCCCAACGTTGCAGGGCCAATTTAACCCCAAGGGCTTTTATTTGCACAAACTTTGGTAGACACCCATAAGAAGATGTTTCATGCTCTAGCTCATTGGGTTTTTAAATGAAGATTTTTTAAAAGTTTTTACTATACACATATAGTTAAAAACAATGACACCCCTGGGGCCTGGCCAGTTTTGACCCCAGGGCTTTTATTGAACAAACTTTTGTAGACACCTATTAGAACATTTTTGATTTGCTAAATCATCTTAGCCATAGCTCTTTGAGTTCTTTTAAAAGAAGATTTTTTTTCTATATGCATATAGGGAAAATCAATGACCCCCCGGGGCGGGGCCAATTTTGACCCCAGGGCTTTTATTTTTGAACAAACTTGGTAGGCACTTATTAGAACATGTTTTCATTGCTAAATATCTTAGCTTTCTAACTCTTTTGGTTCTTTTTAAAAGGAAGATTTTTTAAGTTTTTACTATATGCATATAGGGAAAATCAATGACCCCCTGGGGCGGGGCCAATTTTGACCCCAGGGCTTTTATTTGAACAAACTTGGTAGACACCTATTTAGAACATGTTTGATGCTCAATATCTTAGCCATAGCTCTTTGAGTTCTTTAAAAAAAGATTTTTTTAGTTTTTAATATATGCATATAGGGAAAATCAATGACCCCCGGGGCGGGGCCAATTTTGACCCCAGGGCTTTTATTTGAACAAACTTGGTGACACCTATTAGAAATTTTTCATGCTAAATATCTTAGCTCTAACTCGTTTTTTGGTTCTTTAAAAGGAGATTTTTTAAGTTTTTTTACTATATGCATATAGGGGAAAAATCAATGACATCCCCTGGGGCGGGGCCAATTTTGACCCCAGGGCTTTTATTTGAACAAACTTGGTAGGACACTATTAGAACATCTTTGTTGCTCAATATCTTAGCCATAGCTCTTTGAGTTCTTTTAAAAGAAGATTTTTTTTAAGTTTTTACTATATGCCATATAGGGAAAATCAATGACCCCCAGGGCGGGGCCAATTTTGACCCCAGGGCTTTTATTTTAACAAAACTTGGTAGACACCCATAAGAACATGTTTCATGCTAAATATCTTAACTCTAGCTATTTGGGTTTTTTTCAAAGAAGATTTTTCAAGTTTTTGCTATACACATATAAGGAAATCAATGACCCCCGGGGCGGTTTGCCAATTTTTGACCCCAGGGCTTTTATTTTAACAAACTTGGTAAGACACCTATTAGAACATGTTTGATGCAAATATCTTAGCCATAGCTCTTTGAGTTCTTTAAAAGAAGATTTTTTAAGTTTTTACTTATATGCATATAGGGAAAATCAATGACCCCCCCGGGGCGGGGCAAATTTTGACCCCAGGGCTTTTTATTTGAACAAACTTGGTAGACACTTATTAAACATGTTTCATGCTAAATATCTTAGCTCTAACTCTTTTGGTTCTTTAAAAGAAGATTTTTTAAGTTTTTTACTATATGATATAGGGAAAATCAATGACCCCCCCTGGGGCGGGGCCAATTTTGACCCCAGGGCTTTTATTTTGAACAAACTTGGTAGACACCTATTTTAGAACATGTTTGATGCTCAATATCTTAGCCATAGTTCTTTGAGTTCTTTAAAAGAAGATTTTTTAACTTTTTAGCTATATTGCATATAGGGAAAATCAATGACCCCCCGGGTGGGGCCAATTTTGACCCCAGGGCTTTTATTTTGAACAAACTTGGTAGACACCCATTAGAACATGTTTCATGCTAAATATCTTAGCTCTAGCTCTTTGGGTTCTTTAAAAGAAGAATTTTTAAGTTTTTACTATATGCATATAGGGAAAATCAATGACCCCCGGGGCGGGGCCAATTTTGACCCCAGGGCTTTTTATTTGAACAAACTTGTTAGACACTCACTAGAAGATGTTCATGCCAAATATCTAAGCTCTAGCTCTTATGGTTTTTTAAAAGAAGATATTTAAAGTTTTTTCTTTCGGTTGCCATGGCAACCAGAGTTCTGCATGGAATTAAATTCTTTGAACAATTTTTAAAGGTGACCACCAAAGGAACATTCCTGTGAAGTTTGGATGAAATTGGCTTAGTGGTTTATGAGGAGATGTCATTTAAAGTAAAAGTTTACGGATGGACGGACGGATGGACGGACGGACGGACGGACGCCGGACGAAAAGCGATCACAAAAGCTCACCCTGTCACTTTGTGACAGGTGAGCTAAAAAAACACAGAATAACAGAAAAACTTCAGAACACTTGAATGTAGATAAAGATTATCTTGCATACAGAAAACAAATAAATCACTTTTAGTTTAGGGTTTTTTTTTTAAGATTTTCATACCACTTTATTCATACAGTACAGGTATGTTAATCATATTGTTACATTGTTATGGTCATGGTGATATTTCAACATTTCATACTTTGAAATAAGATACTGCATCTGCCATTGATTCAATACTGCAGGGTTGTTAAGCTGACACTAAGGAAAATCAGGCTGGTTCTTTCACTACATACTATGATATTTTGTCATACTATGTTTTGTCATACTAGAGACTTTGTTCAATAATGATATTTTATTATTCACATGCTTCAGGCCTGCCTGCTTTCATGACTACCAAACTTCCCCTAATAGTTCATTACATACCTTGATCACTGCACATCTTACTATCTAGAACCATGCTTTATTCTACAACACATTCAAGTTTTTTCTCTAAATATAGGATTTATTTTCATTGAGTGGTATGAAAATAAATAATATAATATTACATGAGTGGCAGCAGCCATGAGTGAAATATGACAATTTTCATACCACAAGATGAAAATATATCCTTTATTTATAGAAAAAAACTTTAATTTTGTTTTATTGTATACATTTTTTTTTTATTTTGACATTTCAATTTGAAAGAATTTCTGTTAAATTTTGTGTACTGGCAGAATTTAGAAAAAGTAGTCTGGCAAGACACCAGTGAAAAAACGGAAAATATGTTTCATTGCAGTGAAAAATAACTTTTTACAGTGAAAATACAGAAAATGAAAATATGCACTTTATTTCATCAATATTTCTCAATATTTCATTTATAAGTTTATAATAAATACCCTATTTTCTAAACAAAACATCTTTATATCTATACACATACCTTCTCCTAGCTCTTTATAAACGTACGGTCTCCACCACTTAAAGATGATCCAGCCATACTCAATCCTGATGGAGAAATCTTCTGTGATATAATGTATTCCTCGAAACATCAACTTCCCTGACAATACTGACAATGATATTGATCCTGAAAATTTTAAAAGAAAAAAAGTTTTTTAATTGGAAATAATATTATGCTAAAAAATAAAATTTCATGACTATGCCATTTAGGTAAGTTTGTATCTGAAGCATTTTCTTCTGTTTCCTCAAACTTCATGGCCCTATTGAAGAGAAAAGTGTGAAGAGCCTCAAAATTACAAACCTTCGATACAATTTCATGGTTCTTATATATCAAAGCATTCTGTGAACATTTCCTACATGTCAATATATGATATATCTAATACCACTTCTTCTCTAGCCTTTATTCAGATAGTCAATTATTTGAAGATAGCTATAGCTTAATAATACTTTGCAGAAAAAAATATAAAAAAAGATTTTTTATCAGACTGAATGAGATTATTTTTGAAAAAACATTTTTTATGTATATTTTTTGATAAAGGGTTACTTAATTTTTTCACTTTTTTTTAAAGAAACTTTTCCCGGGGGAATTTATTAATTTGGGGATATTTAGGTTTACTGCCCAAAACCCGTAAGACCCCCTTTATTTCATATAAGACATAATGTAAAATGCAGCCCTTTGCAGTTAACCCTCAATGGTATACTGGGATATCACAGTAGCAAACAGTTGCCCCCAAGTTTCAAGACTGCAAAAACCAAATTTTTGATTTTCCACCAGTATAGGGGCGAGCCAGTTTACACGTCTACACAATCAGTAGTCAAACTTTATACCAATGATAGCTAAAATTTTGTATTCTGATATGGAAGTCCATACACATAAAAATTCCAAGACTGGACACGATCATCACTAAAATACATAAGGTTGATGAGTAATTTAACTATTTTCAGCAATTTTTTTACATCATTGTTCTACAAATTCAAAAGAAAAAAAAAAATTTTTTTTAACTTACCAATGTTTATGCGGCCAAATTTGCTGAACTTGTTGAGAATTAATGTAGCTATAAGTCCGATAACCCTCGAGTTGTAATATGCTAGATAAATCGTCCATATTATCGCAGCAGCCAGTGAGATGAAAAACCAGTAAAGTGTTGACTTTGGTATAGCTGTCTCTATACTTTTTATAAAACTTTCAGTTTCATTTGTTACTCGGTCAGCCATTTTGTTAGCTTTTTATTTGCTGCCACCAGGGATGTATATTATAAACGTTCCTGCTGTCACTAAAATGTCAGATCTGGTTCACTTTTTTTGTTAAACCTTCGTTTTAAAAAGCTTTCCCCTTTATGGGTTTGCGTTCTAAAACTTTCAAAAAAATTTTTTATGTTTACTTCTTAAGGATGGTTCATTTTATGTTAAAGCTTGCTAAAGACTGGTCACTTTTAAAGTAAACTTCCCAAAAAATGTCACTTTGTTTCTTGAAGTCTTTCAGTGTTAAGTGGGGTAGCATGACATTTTTCTGATATCTGTAACATAAATAAATCATATTGTATAAACAAATACATTGTACATGTAGTATTACATGTGATACAAGCTTGAGAAAGATAAACATGTACTGGTATCTCAATTGACCTAAATACACATACTGAACAATAAATACATTGCATATCAAAGAAAAACAATAATTAAGTGTAAATAAGCTTTGATATATACATGTATTTTTTTTTAACCCTTAACCAGCTGGAAATGAAAGTCAAAAAACTTTTGCCACCAGTATACTATTGATAACAAAGCATGCCCAGCTTGTATGTTCATGTAGCCTGATGAGTGAGTGCGTGAGTAAGCCTGACCAGGCAGTAAGTATGGGTAGGGTAATAAAGGGTAAGGTTAGTAAGTAACAACTTTATTTAATGAGGCCAACACATTCCGTTTCCCTACCTTCCATGTGGTCCTCAGCTTATACTCAACAGTATACTGTTTGTGGTTTAATTTTTGTATATCTATAACGAAATCCTTAAACACTTTGAATGCACTGTTTCATATTGAAAGAGTGACCAGAGAAAATACATTATAACAAAGATTATAACAAAATATTTTTTATGATTATAACTTGTAAATATTTACACAAAATTTACACCGGCCTATAAAAACTAAAAGTCAATATATTTCTGACAGATCTATCCGATATCTTGTCATAATATAAAAGGCCGAATACCATCCATTAAAATTATTTAGAAATAATATATATTATCATTCTTTGTGAAAATGTAATTTAAGACATCAGGGCCTTTTTACCCTACTTTGCTGTAGACAGTATCCAGCTACTTCCCAAAGTTGAAAAACTAACTCCCCTCCCCCCCCAAAAAAAAAACCAGTCTAAAATTCCTCTTCTTGAGAAGATTTCCCCATTAAAATTAGAAATAAATCAAAGAATAAAACTTGTAAACAAACTTTCTTGTTTTAAAATAGATCATTTTCTTGTCCAACGAAAGCTAATAATTCAATTACCCACTAAAGAGATAACTTGATTCAATACAAATGATGTTAATTCACAGCCTCTGTCTGAGTTTGCAACTTTCTAAAAACAGCATAGAAAAACCCCATTACCTCATTTTTCAGTAAACACTTGATTTTTTATGACAATACAGCAACAGATTTAAATCTACATTACTCTGCTTCAAAATCTATAATGATTACACTAAGCAGGTGCGTTGTCTGGATATAGCTGTTAACAGTTAAAAATAAATTTGTTAGAAGCAAAGATAAAAGCAAGTTAAGAGAAAACTACAAGACTGAGATAAAAAGTGGTCTCCAATGAAAATAATGTCACAGAAGAAAATACCATTGAGTGATGTCTGTAATTGTTTATGAAAAATTGGAGAAATTGATGACCAAGAGTACCCAATATATGTATCCGTTCACAAGCCCTGCATGTGTCCGAGAAAAACAACATGCCCAAGTGTCAGTAATAGTGAGCCTAGCACAACACATTTACAAAGAGCCAGTAATAGTGATACAGTGGGAACTGATAATACTGTACCCTCTGAATCAAACCGAGAACCCTCACATTTGGTAAAGGGTCAACTCGGCCCTATATCAACTTGGCACGGGTCAACTTGCCACAGGTCAACTCGACCCTCTATTAAAAACATACAGTGTATTAGGATATAGATTGTTTAGTTTATAAAAAAATTTAAGGAGTAAATTACTATACAGGGCCAAAGAACCCTGCTTTGTAGAGGCCGAATATAGGCTGGTTCCCCAACCAAACTAGCCTCTTTTTTTCCCCAGTTTGGTCCTCAAAAATCCCCAGTCTTTTGAAATTTCCAATAGAATTTATAACAAAATTAAATGATGGTGTTGAATTAAGGTCTTTTACTGCCTTATTAGTATTTCCCAGTGATTTTTGCTTTTCTATTTTGAAGAACTTGTTAAAAGTTTGTGTTAAATTTGAGACACCTTTTCCCAAAGTATGCCAAAATCATGCATATCCCCACCCCCAAAAGGCTGAGGCCCCTTCCCTAAAAATGGTGTTTTGGCCCTGCTATAAAAGTATTCAGAGGTATGATCACTAACAAAGAGATATCAAGACAATAAATGTTAAATATTGATCTTTAAATTGAATTTTTATGACAATTTAACATTGTTTGTTCTTCACTGACCAATGCTGTTTGAACGATTTATTGTACAAAAACATCTGAAGTACAGTACTAGTAGGCAAAAAGTGCATTTAAATCGTAAATTCTTCCATCTCTACAAATTCACATACAAATTGGTACTTTTATCTATAAAACTTTTCAATAACCTTGAGTAGAGGTCTATAACTATGAAAATGTTAAACAATGAAAATTATTATGAAAACATATAAAAAATAATAAAAGTAATCATTACCAGTAATATATAACTATGGGCCGAGTTGACCCGTGCCGAGTTGGAATAGGGCCGAGCTGACTCGGGGGTCCGAGTACGTTTAAGGGCCGAGCTGACCCTGATTCCTCACATTCTTGACCTACATGAATTTTCTATAATTAAGAAATATCAAGGTATTCTCAGACAAATATAAAACGGAAATAAATTGGTCTGTTCAGAATAAATGCCTTTAATTTCTGTGGTACAGAAAGCCAAATACTTAAGTAAACCTTAAATGTGTTTGAAGGAAAACAGATAATGATATTCCCCAATATGTAAGAAAATATTATATTTTCCCAAAATGTGTGAAAATCCCACATTTTTTCCCACAAAAAGGGCTAGGTGCCTTGCCCAAAACTAGTGAAAAGGCCCTGGACATGCAAATTACTGACTTCATCATAGCATTTATTTGTTCTTGAAACAAGAGCGATCAGTGATCACATGTGTCGCCTCATGATGGCCAATTTCATGTTGGGACAAGTTTTGTGACAGACGGACAGACAGATGGACAGTGCACAACTAGACTTGGTACTGATCATTCCTGTAAAGTTTGGATAAAATTGCACCAGTAGTTTATTAGGAGTAGTCCGCACAAGCTTTTGTGTATCTGGCAACACACAGAAAAAAACACCTTTTTATCAAAGGGCCATAACTCGGCCAAAAATCATTCAACCGGAAAACCCGTGCAATATGCGCAAGGACTTGAGCTACAGATCAATCCTGTAAACTTTCATTGAAATTGCATTAGTGGTATAAGAGAAGTAGTCCGGACAAACTTTAAAAATAAAAATTATTAAAGGGCCATAACTCTGACAAAAATCAATGAACCGGAAAATGCTGACAATATGCACAACTAGACTTGGTACTGATCATTCCTGTAAAGTTTTGATGAAATTGCACCTGTAGTTTCTGAGGAGTAGTCTGGACAAGTTTTGTGACAGACGGACAGACGATGGAGAAGTGATCCCTATATGTCGCCACTACTCTGTAGAGGCAACACTAGAAAATGCTGTAGCTTAACAGTGCATATAGGCTAAACATACATGACTTACATATGGTTAGAACTTTTGGCTAGCAGTACAGGCCCGTATGACTAGCCACTTCCTTTTCTTATCAGGGGGAAACTTAGTTCTGGCTTCCAAAACTTTATAAGCCGCTATTTAACATTTTTGTTTTTCATCTGATGCGGCATTAAAGTTTTGGATTAGACCCGTTACGAAACCTAACCAGAATAACATAAGTTGATTTATTCTTGTTTTTCAGATGCAAATACACTTGACCCAATCAATTCTTGTGTGCATTTTACGATAAAACAATTATTTTAATATCGTTCAATATACCAATTAAAGTATCAAAAATATTAATACTGTCATTAAAATTGCCTATTTTAACTGTAAAAACACCAATTTACCGCCGACTACAGTCGGCCATGAAACATTCAGGTGCCACGCGAGATCTCGTATGACGTCATTCGCGGGGAACAGATTTGAATAGAGTCGTGTACTATATTTAGAACATTTTTGTTGACATGATTTCGATATTTTTATTCAAAATAATGTTTTTATTTATTTTCATTAATTTTTTAGTACTTAAATATGATTTTATTGAAGATAAAAATCAGTAAATCAACCTTTTCAATATCTTTAAAAAAAGTAATTTATAAAAATATTGGAGGCACATGGGTTTATAAAGGTCAATCTCGTAATCACGTGGTCAAACATTTTGGCAATATGGCGGCCAAGTGCCGAAATTTTTACCTGTCGGAAACTATTAGGTAGTTTATGTTCATAATAAGATTTTTATTTGTCCATCCTTGGCTTATCAACAGATTATATATAGTTTTATCAAGGTATGCTTCACTTTACTTCTTGGCATGTTCGATGAATAAATACGAGCGTGTCAGATTCCTGGCACGATTATTGGTGGACTTTCCCTACGGGGTTATCTTCAGCATTCACGTCATGTCATAGTATATAAACGGGTACGCTGAAGACCTTAAGCTAGGGGAAACTTACCAGGGCTATTTTTGAATTTCTAGAATGGTCACTGGTTGTATATATCAGACACACTTGTAACATTAAACCACATGCAGATTATTTGTAAAAAATTAAAAGGCTTCTTAAAGTACATTAAACGTGTGTATTATTTCAGTCCATTGTCGAATAATTTATAATTTTTACAGTTAGTGGCTCAGGCTGTTGACAGTGTCAGTGTCAAATGATATCCAAGCTGTTTCTGGAGCGACAGAAGAGAAAACTTAAATGATCAATCATAAAACATCGCACACAAACTTGATTGCAAATTCTACTTACGTTTTTTATTGATTCAATACTCATATGAGCCAAAAAGTAATCAAATTTCAATAAAAAAATAATTCTA